GTGGTGCATGCCTTTAACCCCAGCATTCGGGAGGCAGAGGCAGACGGATCTCAGTGAGTTTGAGGCCAGCCAGGATAGGCTCCAAAACTACACAGAAAAATCCTGTCTCAAAAAAATGAAAGGAAAAAAAAACAACAACTCAAAAACAATAACAACAACGAAAACCAAACCAGTAGGCTCTTGCTACCATGGCTGGTTTTCCTGCCTCCATCATCATCCCTTCTCTGCATCTTCTCCACTATTTCCAGCTCAGCCCACACTACTGAAAGTTGGTGAGATCACTGGTGAGAAGAGCCTTTTACTAGGCTTAATGTTGCAACATGAGGGTAGAGGGCACAGACTGTCTCCCGGATGAGAGAGAAAGAGAGAAAAATCTGTATCAGGCACAGTTATGGAAGTTTGTGTTTGGGCCAATTATAGCCTTTAAGACCAGTCACTGCAGTTAGAGGAGCTTCTAGACCACCGGAAGTGTTCCTCATCCGGTGTAGGTAGAAATGGTTACAGGGTCATCTAAGTCCACGAATACTTGTGATAGCCAGAAGTCTATGTTAAGTATTTTTCCTTGGCCGGGCGGTGATGGCACACGCCTTTAATCTCAGCACTTGGGAGGCAGAGGCAGGCGGATTTCTATGAGTTCAAGGCTAGCCTGGTCTACAAGAGCTAGTTCCAGCAGTCTAGAAAAACCAAAAAAAAAAAAAGTATTTTTCCTTGGATGACAAACCTTTCCACAGACGCAATAATCCAAATTAATCCAGATCAGACCGAACTAGAAGAGAACCCAGATTTAACTGATGGCAGCACTCCTGGGTGTCCCACTCCCATCCAGGGAAAACACGGAGAGGGGAACAGATCACGGAAAACCAGGAGACCACTGTTCATTCTCTGGGGGGCAGTTTAGATAGTCTGTGGGAGTGGTCTTGGCCCTCCTGGAGGAGGAGTTACCTTTGGCAGAGTTTGGACTGAGGCAACTCCCAGGGGAGGGAGCTTTGAAATGGAACTTTCCACCCAACATTTCAAGATGGATGCCAGGGGGCTGGGGTGAAGCCCCCAACTAAACAGTCTGGTACAAACTGCTTCATGCTGTAATGGTAAAAGTAAAATGCTGTGGATTCCCGGCGGCTGTAGTGGCAAAAACACTGCAGGTCCAAGCAAACAGCAATCCCGAGAGCAGCCAGTCCTAGGCAGGGATGGTGCAGTTTCCCGAGTGGTTGCAGCCGGCCACAAGGAGAGACAAACAGATGGGCATGCCATGAGACCATGCCACAGGTCTCTGAAGGCAGCTGGTCCTGGGCAGGGAGCCACACAGCTGGCAAGAGACAGAGACATGGATAGGCACACTATGCAGAGTGAGATTGGATATTTATTTAGTGGGTTATGGAAGGGAAGGGGAGAGAAGAAGAAGAACAGAGAGAGAGAGAGAGAGAGAGAGAGAGAGAGAAATAAAAGGGGGGAAGGAGGCTGCCTCTTCAGGAGAGAGACTCTTGAAATCTCGGCAGATTCTCAAGACTGCTTCCTACTTATTTGTGGGCATCATCTTGGCGATGGGGAGGGGAACCTGAGAAGGCTGGGTGCTGGTCACATCCTGGCAAAGCTGGTCTCTTTGTTTCTGTCTGGTGTTTGTGGTATGGAAATGTCTGGTGTCTCTTACACCTGCTTAAGGTATTGGCAGAACAGAGGACAAAGTTAAAGGGAAAAAAAACCTTTTAGGATCTGCCACTCCAATTCCTTTCACCTGTGTTGCCTAACCTCCTGTCTTTTTATTATAAAAAAGAGATGGGAATGTAATGATCTGTCCTTTCTCTTTAAGAGACAAGACCTGCCTATTCCCTCCCCTGTCCACTGAAGCAGGCAAATCTTCCTTCCTGCTTGCAGCCTGAGTCTCTTCCTTTTTCATCTCTCCCCGAAGAGGCAGCTTCTACCTCTCTTCATTCTTCCCATTTCTCCCCTTCACCCCTTCTCTTCCTATCTCTCTTTCTCCACTTCTCCTTCTCCCCCTTCCCTTCTATAACCCACTAAATAAATATCCAACCTCACTCTGCATGGTGTGCCTAGCCATGTCTCTGTCTCTTGCCTGCCGCATGGCTCCCTGCCTGGGAGCAGCCACCTTTGGAGACCTGCGGCGTGGTCTCGTGGAGTGCTCATCTGTCTGTCTCTCCTCGTGGTCTGCTGCAGCCACTCATGGAACTGTGCTGTTCCTGCCTGGGACTGGCTGCTCTGGGACTCGTCCCCCCCCCCCCCCCCCCCCCGGCTCAGGGACCTACAGCATGGTCTCATGTCCCCCTGCAGCCACTCGGGATCCACAGCATTTTACTTTCACCATTACACATACAGCCCTGAATGGGGTTGTACCCTCAGGAGCTGGGGCAATCAGCTACAATTGTGCATTTTTCTAAAGACACTATATATGCTATTATTTAAATTCTTACAACTTTATAAGGTAGTTACCATTATTATCCCTATAGTTAGAGATGATTTAGTTATCCTGCCTACAGTTAGTCACTAACTGTCATAGGATTTAAGCACAAATTAACTTCAGAACACCAACTATGCCCCTGTGCCTGCCTGGGCTCCATAAGCTGCACTCATGGGCACTGCACTCGTGGGCACCACACTCGTGGGCACTGCACTCGTGGGCACTGCACGCGTGGGTACTGCTCTCATGGGCACTGCACTCGTGGGCACTGCACTCGTGGGCACACATACCCAAGAGCACCAATGAGACCCCAGCAATGACAAAGATGTCCTCTTGGTTCCCTCGAATAACATGGTCACTAGACTCTTGCTTTGGACACTTGAAATACACCTAGCATGTTTCAGTTAGTTTACATTTATGTAGCCACGTGTGGATGAAAACTGCTGTGCTGGACAGAACAATTCCCTACTGTACAGTCACAGCACACAGTCTGGACACAGAGTCACATATGCAGTTTGCAGTAGAGTACAGGAAGGTTCCGCGTGCCTGGTGCTTCGGGAGCATGTCAAGTGTTGGAAATAATCCTTAGTGTTGGAAACCAAGTGTGTGGTCCTCAAAACCAGATCCCAAGAGAGCAACTTCGATCTGACAGGCACAGGAAGACACCATCAACAGCTGCATCAGAGATTGATTGATGAGAGCGTTCTGTGAAATTGAGAAAGAGATGAACATATGGATTTGATGACTTTTATGAAAGGGAAGGCTGGAAGGAAAGCCATGTACCAACATCTGTTTGCTGTACTGGTCTCAACCTCCACCGGGTAGATGTTTGATAAACCAAACTGTGAATTTCAAATGGAACTTATCCAGAGGTGATAATACTTGGCCTTCTCATAGAAAAAAAACTTCACTCTAAATTTGAGGTCCAAAGAAGATCTGGGAACAAAATTTGTCACCAGAAAAAGAAAATTACAAAAACATAATTTTGCAAAAACATAATATAAGACACATTTAATTGTTAGATTCAGTACATGTTAAAATTCCTTTTAATTTGGATTTTCAAGTTAGATTTTCCCACTTGGTAAAAATTCCCAAGACCGGATGATAGTTGCTAAGAGAACATACACAACTTTAAGGGCCTGCTTGTGCATCTGTGTCTGCATGTGTGTATGTCTATGTGTGTGCACGTGTGTGTATGTGCATGTGCCATAGTTCCTTTTCATTGTCCAGTGGTTTTCTTTTTTTTACTTATTTTTTGAATTACTACACAAAATACTGTTTCATTACCGAGTTCTCACACAAAATCTGTTTTCTTGACTGTTCTAGTTAACTTTATTTCCCTAAGGACTTACACTTTTGTTTGTTTGTGTTTGTTTTTGATACAGTGTTTCTCTGTATTCCTGATTGTCCTGGGGAACTAGTTCTGTAGAACAGTCTGGTCTCCATTTGAAAGATCCACCTGCCTCTGTCTCTCAAGTGCTGAGATTAAAGTCGAGCACCACCACATCTGATTCTGGTCTCTTCTTCTTCTTCTTCTTCTTCTTCTTCTTCTTCTTCTTCTTCTTCTTCTTCTTCTTCTTCTGTTTTTCGAGACAGGGTTCCTCTGTCTATCCCTGGCTGTCCTGGAACTCACTCTATAGTCTAGGCTGGCCTCGAACTCAGAGATCCACTAGCCTCTGCCTCTCAAGTATTGGGATTAAGGGCATGAGCCACCATCACCCAGCAGGATTTCTTCCCTTAGCAGAAACCAGGACAAATCAGTGAGTCTGGTTTACAAGCATGCATTTTCTTTTTTCTTTTTTTAAATATTTATTTATTTATTATGTATACAATATTCTGTCTGTGTGTATGCCTGAAGGCCAGAAGAGGGCACCAGACCACATTACAGATAGATAGTTGTGAGCCACCGTGTGGTTGCTGGGAATTGAACTCAGGACCTTTGGAAGAGCAGCCAATGCTCTTAACCTCTGAGCCGTCTCTCCAGCCCCCCCTCCAGCAGGATTTCTTATGATTTAGTAAATGTCGTACATAACTTAAAGCAGGAATTCAGAATCTCTCTCAATGAGACACATTGAATATATAATGTTTCTTTGGGGAGAAAAAATATGGGCATATATTTCTCAAAGTTTAGAGTTGTTTTATAATGTACTTTGGGATTAGGCATTATTCTCAAGAGACACCCACACATTGTTTTTCTCTTTGGGAGGGGATGCTGTGCAGTCATGGTGTGGGTGAAGGGTTCTTTGAACTTCCATACGTATTTTACCTGGAACTCAGTGTGACGATAAGGAGTCTGTTCCATGAGACGCACAGGGTGAACACATCATAAGGCTTGCTTTTCCTCTTTTGTTCTGGATTCTAACCAGTCATAACATGATAAGGACATATTAGCCTGTCCTAAGCAGGTGCCCGGTATTCTGGGACAGAAGCACAGGATGATTGGGAAGAAGCCTTATCCTTAAAGTCTGAGGCTCAAGGTGTTTTACTACAATTGCCCCCAGGCTGTGCTTAGCCTGGCATTCTCTTGCAGAGAACTTGGCACGTGAACTTAATAATTTCCAAAGCCCTGAGATTACTCGCAGACAACATGCAGGTAAGTTTTGGATCATCTCTGAAGCATTTGATAGCTGTTGGAATCGACCGTTCTCCATGTGAATTGTTAGCACTGAGAAAAATGGCAAGGAGTGCCGTTTGTCACTGCAGGTTCTGGGGTCAGAGGTCCTCAGTAGTCACAGTGAACTTTAGACACTGGCAGATCCAAGTTCAGAACCGGAGCCTCTCTCAATCCCTTACCCACAGTGCACTCTTTGGCAAATTATTAAACCTCTCAGGTGCTCATCTGGATTTGCAAGTTAATCTACCCAAAGAGGTGTCACTGTGGCTAAGTGCAGTAAGTATGAAGTGCCCAGCCCGGCGCTGGAACTCAGCAAAGGCCCACTGAGAGGTAGCTCACTTAAGCCTCTTCCTAAGAGCAGGCTCTGACACAGTTCTGAGTCCTTTAAAGGTCCCTGGTCTGTTACAGTTCCGCACGCTCCCTTCTGGGTGGGCACTGTCCCTCTCTCTGAATGAGGTGGAATAAACTTGGCACAGGTCCACCTAGGTCTCTGAAGAGAATGCTCCCTGCAGATAGTAGGAATCTGCCCACACCCACAGACATGCCAGATGCCTAGGGAGAGTCAGTCAAAGCAGTCTGGTGAGTAGCAGAGTAAGTTGAAAGTTGTACTAAAATATAAGTATGATAAATAGCCAGGGTGTGGTGGACACCCAAAGCAACCACATCATGGAAAACAATCCTTGACCTTTGTAATCAGAGAGGAAACTGATCCAAGGGCTTCCATTCAAGGAAGAGTTGTATGTATGTCCCCTGTAGGTTTTAATCACAATGATTAAATGATTATGTCACTCGATATGTGGCATCAATATAGCTATGCCTGATCCGTCTTTGTATCTCCAGTGTATCATACAGTATCTAGTTTATAATTGTGTGTGTGTGTGTGTGTGTGTGTGTGTGTATAAACTTCCACCCAAACAAGGAAGTAAACTGCTAACATTGTGCTCAGTGTCCATTTTCTGGCAAATGCTGGAGAAGAGAGACATATAACGCTTGTGACCTGGGAGACTGCAATCTAGTAGAAGAAATAATAATAAACATTTAAACTAGAATGTACTGCTAAGTACTGTGAGAAGCCCCTTCAGTCTGGTGGGAGGAATAAACAGGGGCCGGAATGAAGCTTAAAGGCTCAACCGCCTTTCTTCTTAGGTGACGTTCTGCAAACTTGGGACTCACCAGTGGGGTTTCATTCTGTTTAATGTCGTAGTATTTCACGCCTTGCTCTTTGGAGCTGACTTCGTGGAAGAATACTTTTTTTTAAAAATATTTATTTATTTATTATGTATACAATATTCTGTCTGTGTGTATGCCTGATGGCCAGAAGAGGGCACCAGACCCCATTACAGATGGTTGTGAGCCATCATGTGGTTGCTGGGAATTGAACTCAGGACCTTTGGAAGAGCAGGCAATGCTCTTAACCTCTGAGCCATCTCTCCAGCCCCTTGGAAGAATACTTTTTACATTCTTTGCCTCATGTTGATATGAAAATCCTTGAAATTAAGAACAAGGCAAGAAAACCCAACTTGGGATTCATAAGAGGTACTCCCTCCACGGACTATGTTTTGAGCCAGCTGGAGGCATGTAATGGGAAGCCCATCTTTCTGTTCACTCTATCTTCAGTAGCCCAGGGAGTGGAACAAAAAGGGAGCGCATCAGGAAAATGTGGGGTAGTGTGACCAGTGTTCAAGGCTACCCAGTCCTTACACTGTTTGCTCTGGTAACTACCGGAAGAGACAGACATCGAGTCTCAGGAGAATAACGACATAACTGAAGGGATCTTCTTGGACAGGTCTGAAAACCAGACCCTGAAGAGCATCTCAATGATGTAGTGGGTTGTGTCTTTCGTCCTAATGCCCTCATACTCAAGCTGATGAAAAGATGTTTATCAATCTACCAGGCTTGGTGGACTATCTACTCAGTCTAAAAGAACATCCAGAAGGTATCTATGTAGGAAGTGTTAACTCACCAGGATAATCCTAACAGAGACCCCCAGCCAAGAATTTGTCCCTCTTGGTGAGTACTGGGCTGCTGCAGTGGTGAGCCTTTACAGTGCCCCAAGATGTGGCTCAGACATGTATGTATGTGGTTTTTTTTTTTTTTTTTTTTGGTTTTTCGAGACAGTGTTTCTCTGTAGCTTTGGAGCCTGTCCTGGAACTAGCTCTTGTAGACCAGGCTGGTCTCGAATTCACAGAGACCCGCCTGACTCTGCCTCCTGAGTGCTGGGATTAAAGGCGTGAGCCACCACCGCCCGCCTATGTATGTGGTTTTGAATGAAGCACCTACAGTGGTATTGGCTGATGTATTTATAGGGATTTTTGGTAAGTTCGTTGGTCTTTTTTGTTTGTTTGTTTTTTGTTTTTTTAGAGACAGGGTTTCTCGGTAGCTTTGGAGAAGTCCATTGGTCTTATCCCATCCATAGCTCAAGAAGAGACACATTGTATAAAACAGATGTTGCTACAAGTTCATCTTTACATCCTCAGAAGCTACAGATGCTGAAACTTCCCTGGCATGCAGAGAAATGAATGATGGGAAAGCACGTTCACTGTTTGAGACTTACTATGGGCTCATTTCCTGCAAACTGCTGACACACCTCGACGGCTTTAGCCCTTTTCACGTGGGGACTGCACAAGGCCATGCTGTGCACTTTGGCAGGTAGGATGCACTTGTTTTTAAATTGCTGTGCGTTGGCTCAGTGTAGGAAGCAGCTCTATGTCCCCATGTCGTGTAGCAGCTCTGAATCTCTATTCATGCCTAGCAAAACCACAAAATGTTCTTAGTGCTCTGATGTACTCAATCTTGACATCTTCTTTTTGTTGTTTTAAGACATTTAGATTAGTATGGTGTAGTTCTTTTCAAAATAAAATCTTTCAGAAAAGAGAGAACATTAAATTTCATTATAACATATTGTGGTGTGCAGTGATACATATTTTAAAAATTACATTTGTTTATTTTATTCATGTGTGTACATATGCATGTGTATGTATATGTGTCACAGGGAGTGTAAAGAGGTCACAGGACAAAGAACAAGAGGAGTCAGTTCTCTCCTTCCAACTTGTGCGTTCTAGGAATGGAACTCAAATCATAAGACTTGGCAGAAATCACCCTTACTCACTGAGCCATCTCACTGGCCTAGATGAGTAAAAAATAGTATAGTACATTATGCAATGCCTAAATCCATTATTTAACATACGTTTCCTTATACACTTTTGTGGTAAAAACACTTAAAATGTATGCTCCTAGCAGTTTTCATATGTGTGTATGTGTGTGTACCATATATGTGATCTACCTTCTGTCTATCTGTCTATCTATCTATCTATCTATCTATCTTAACTATAATTATTGTGACATATAATAGATTTCCTGAACGTATTTCTTTTACTGTATGTACATTGGTATGAAGGTGTCAGATCCTCTGGAACTGGAGTCACAGACAATTATGAGTAGCCATGTAGGTGCTGGGAATTGAACCCAGATCCTCTGGAAGTGCAGCCAGTGCTTTTAACCACTGAGACATCTCTCAGCCCCAATCCTGAACTTATTTCTATCAGACTGATATTGTTTAGTTCCTTGACTAAGAACCCTGTGAATCTAGAAATCATTATTCCCCTGAGTTTGGCATTTTTAACACTGCCTGTGTGAATGATAATGTGGCTCTTTGTCTTTTGAGCTTGGCTTATTTTGCTTGACATGGTGTCCTCTCGTTCCTACATGTTGGTGCAAAGGATAGTTATTTTCTCTTTCTTCCTTCTTTCCTTTCTTTAAACATTTTTAATTTTTTATTTTATTTTATTTATTTTTTATTGATTCTTTGGGAATTTCACATCATGCACCCCAATTCCACTCACCTCCCAGCCCTTCCATATCCTCCCCTCACCCCTGATGCTTTCTCCCAAAAGAACCCCCCCAAAGTCAATTAAAAAACAAAACAAAACCACCTCACTTCTCTGTCTTTCCAACACCTTCATCCATCCTAGTGGCTTTTGGTGCTGCCGTGTATCACACATGATATCCTTTTGTTCAATCAGCCCCACCCACAAAGTGCTCATTGCTATGAGCTATTGGTCCAGCTCAAGGATTAATGTGGGAGTGATTTCTTTCTAATCTGTTGCTTTCATTGGTTAAGTAATAAAGAAACTGCCTAGGCTCATGTGATAGGCCAACCCTTAGGTGGGTGGAGTAAACAGAACAGAATGCTGGGAGAAAGAAGCTGAGTCAGGTAGTCGCCATGGTTCTCCCACTCCAGACAGACGCAGGTTAAGATCTTTCCTGGTAAGCGCACCTCGTGGTGCTACATAGATTATTAGAAATGGGTTAAGAGGCTGAAACTAATGGGCCAGGCAGTGTTTAAAAGAATACAGTTTCCGTGTAATTATTTTGGGTAAAGCTAGCTGTGCGGGCGGCCGGGTGCCAGGAAAGTAGCCCCGCTGCTCTTATTACAACAAAGGCTTATGCCATAGGGATCACCACTGGGCCCTCTCTGAAGCGCCTCTCCGCTATCCAGCTGTTGCTGAGTCATGGAGGTCCTGCAGTTATTCTTCCACAGGACCAGTCCCTTCACACTCCAGCAGGTCAGAGATGGGGTAGATGTTAGGGTGGGCCAACCCAGGGCCCAAAATGTAGGGCGGGGCTAGGTGGTATTGGCCCCTCAGGTGAGGGGCAGAGTCAGCTCTCCGAGGCCCATGCCATTGGGGCCAGCTTTCCCGTCTGGCTGGTCTTGAATTCCTGGGTTAACCACCTCCATCTCTGAGTAGCTGCAACTACCCGATGACATCACTGTGCCCAGCTCTATTGGCCATTTACATATCTTCCTTGAGAAATGTCAATTGATTTTTTTTTTTTTTGCTTCGTTTTGAATTGTTTCTTGCTGGGTAGGTGGTGGTGGCACATGCCTTTAATCCCAGCACTCAGGAGGCAGAGGCAGACAGACCTGAGTTTGAAGCTAGCCTGATCTACAGAGTGAGTTCCAGGACAGCCAGGACTACATGGAGAAACCCTGTATTGAAAAACAAAACAAAACAAATCAGTTTCTCAGATTCTTGCTTTTGTAGTTCACACGTTTTCCCCATTCTTTTTGGAGATAGATTCTCTGTGTAATTTTGGAGCCTGTCTTGGAACTTGCTATGTAGACCAGGCTGACCTCGAACTCACAGAGATCCGTCTTTGCCTCCCGAGTGCTGGGATTGAAGGTGTGCGCCATCACCACCCACCCTATTTTCCCCACTTTTAATTAATTTTTTTCTCATATATTTCGATCATTAATCTCTTACTAGATGATGGGGTGTTTTCTCCCAATTTTACAATAATTCTAACAGTGCTGCTTCTGCACAGCTTCTTTGGCTGTAGTCAATGTCATCAATGACTATGGATGCTTTAGTGGCCTGGGGTCCATGTTTCTGTGGCAAGACAGACTTACCTGAGAGGCCCTCTGACAGTGCTGAGTCTGATTTCACTGTGTTCCAGGGCTCAGTGTCCCACTGAACAGCTGAGGCTCCTGTGACATGCAAACAGGTTCACTCTTAGGCATGGGTGGATACACGCTTTCCCATTACACCAAGGGCTGTAATTCTAGGGAATTCCACAGCAACTCAGACCCAAGGGACAAAGATACCACCGTGAATCTGGTGCTGTGCATCATGGCCCAGGGAGGAATGTGTTCCAGAGACGCTGTTGTGTGACAAAACTTTTTCTGGGGAGACACTACACACACCTCTACTTACCCAAGATAGGGAGCGCACAACGGACCAAAGTATAGACACCACCAAAGTGCAGCTTGGTGAACTAATGAGTTTTACTGGAGTTACTTATAGGAATATGGGCAAGGGGTTACATACAAGAGCAGGAATGACTCAGACAGCTGCAACATCAAATCCCACCCCAGCCTACAGGCAGCTCAACAGGTAGGACAGTGTCCTTTTCTAGTGATTTTGTTGGGCTAAATCTCTTCCTGGTTGTCCTGTCTGAGGAGGACTCTTACTCTGGGGGGGGGGGGGTGTTAGTGAATCTGCTCAGTTTCAGGGATTTCCTGAGACTATTTGTTTTACTTCCCTGCTTAAGAGAGCTTCCCTGTAGGATGGACAATGCCAACCTCATCGAAACTGCTATACAACAGCTGCAGATGCTAGGTAGTGGAACACAGTTGCAGTTTGGGTTCTGAAGTCAACAAGGACAGTGGCAGCTTGAGCATGGCAGGCAGTGAGCTGCTTAGTGGAGATGCACATCTTGGAGTGTCAGGACACAGCAGTGGTGCAGGCCTGTGACTGAACTGCCATGGCAGCCATGTCCTGGGTATGGTGGGGCACAGTTGTGGCATGGCTTCTAGTGGGTGGGAGGCAGTGCAGCACTGACTTCATCCCCCATCTAGAGGGAAACGTGAGCACCTCAGACTGTAAGGCAAGTTCAGATGCAGGAAGGTGAGATGCGGTGGTTATTCCTCCCGGACGGTGGGATGATACAGACAAGTCAAGGATGTTTCCGTGGAAGGAGTATCATGAAAGTTCAATCACTTAGGTTGCTCCTTAAAGCTCTCGTACCCTGCAGTCAGGGTGACATATTCGTGTAGGCCTTGAAGGGAAATAGCTTCTTCATTAGATATGTCTCTTTCTTGAGGGGCAAGGCTCTATGCAGCTCAAAAACACATCATTCACACTGTTTGACTGGGCCTGGGTTCCAAACGGCCAAGTGTATAAGCTGCAGCAGCAAGGGGACAGATGGAGTGCTTCCTAGACAGCTTATCATGATGGAAAGGAGACGGGTGACAGTGTGCCTGGGAAATGGCACGTCACCCTGCGCGAGCACGGAGCAGTGCAGAAAGGTCTCAGAACAGAGCTGCTGCTCACCCACCATGGGATGCACTCCAGCTTGTTACCTAAACTCAGGGCTATGGAACTTTGGGATTAGGATCTGGAATGGGGCATATACAGCGTTTCTCGGCAATGTGGAGTACGGGGCTGCTCACTGGTGGTGGCCATGGAAGTATGGAGAACTCCAAGAAGGTCTGTGGACCAGTCGTAGAGGTTTGAGAGACGTGCCAACTTTCCCCGTCTTTGGGGTTCACTGGCAGATACGGCTGTTGATCAGCCCAGAGGCAAGGCATGCATCTATGCCTATGCTGTCTTTACACTTGGCCATTTTGTTGGTGTTTGTTGGGTCCTCGAGCCTTCTCCGGGCTGTTTTAGTTTGTGAAAGTCACACTCTCTCTCACACACACTTGCTTATTAAATGCAAAATAGTAACTTACCACTCTTACTAACATCTGAAAAGACAGCACAGAAGCAGACTGAGAACCAGGTGGTGGCGCATGCCTTTAAACCCAGTGCTCGGGAGGCAGAGGCAGGTGGCTAATTTCTAGGCCAGCCTGGTCTACAGAGTGAGATTCAGGATAGCCAGGGCTATTCAGAGAAACCTTGTTTTAAAAAAGGAAAAGAAAAAAGAAAAGCCAGAATGAGAATAGGGCCATATACAGGAGAGCAGGCCCTCCTCTGAATCCTGTGGTTAAATAATTAAGTCAGGGACTGGAGAGATGGGTCAGCAGTTAAGAGCACTAACTGCTCTTCCAAAGGTCTGGAGTTCAATTCCCAGCAACCACATGATGGCTCACAACCATCTAGAATGAGATCTGGTGCTCTCTTTTGGCCCGCAGGCAGAACATTGTATACACAATAAATTAAAAAAAAACAAAACAAAACCAAGTCAACATTATGACAGAGGATTGTGGTTGGCAGGGGTGGGGAGTTACCATTCAATGGGTATGAAATCTAGTTTTATAGGTAAACAGTCTTGGAGATGGATGGCAGTAATCACTGTATGACATCTGCACATATAAAATACCACTAAAAAGTACATTTACAATGGTTATATATTTCACCATGTGATATACTTATCTCTGAGTTTGAGGCCAGCTACAGAGTGAGTTCTAGGACAGCAAAAGTCACTTTGAATATTTCATGCCAGGAAATATCTGGCTGTGTCCTAATTTGTGATATGAGAAGTAGAGAAATGGCCAGTATGGGAAAAGACAACTCAGAGACACCAGAGGAGAAATGATGAACTGGACTAGGAGTCCAGTCACTTGAGAACCATGTTATAGGAAGGGATGACATATCAATCTCAACACAGCCTAAAAGAAACACTTCCTGGTTCTGAGCTTCCTGGTTGGTTACTGCCAAGCCCAGGCAGAAACCTCTGGACAACTGATTTTTGTGTGTAGAGCACTGTACTGTATATAGACAGTATCACTAGAAAACAGGCGAGGGAGAACCATCTGGAGGCCAGCGAGACAGCATCAGTTTGTGCACTGTTTTCTCCAGCTAACTCCCATGGATCAGAGAAATCACTCCAAACCCTTCACAAGGTGACCCACAGTAAGATGACAGTTCTCCTCCCTCCCCAGTAACATAACATGGTAAAATTGACAAATGGCAAAAGTACCAATCCCAAACAATTTTTAGAGATTTTTAATTTTCAAAAGAAAAGTGACCAAGAAATCTTATTAAAACTATTTATTCCTTGTGTACAAATAATACATTCCAATGATTCCAAACGACTTATTTTCCAGGGACTACACAAGATTCTGAGGTGAGATCAGATAAGGAAAAGAAAGGCGCTGAAAAGAAATCAGAGTCATTTTGGCTTCATTTTATTTTTAAATGAGGTCACGAGTGTGCCCATGGAAACTCGGTGAGAAAACAAACCTTTGACCTTGCAGCAGAGACAACCAGAGGCCTGGGAAGGCACTCGTGCTCATGGCCATGCTGCCGCCTGGTCCACACGGCACTGACACAGGAATGGCACTGCTGATGCGAGCTGCCCCAGACACTCCGTGGGAGCTCTGGATGAGGGAAGCCCTGCTCTCTAAAACATGGATGGAATCATATGCCTTGAGAAATTCTGGTCAAAACACGGTCTTCTGTCCTAACTGAAAGAAATCAATCAGCTCCTTCCACTGCTGTCGTGGCAACAGGTTTTACATAGTACGGACCTTCACTTAGGTAGGTTCTGAGTCTTAAATAATTTGAGTTCCCAAAGATCTCTGCAACTGTCTTGGAATTGGCAAGTGCTTTAACCAGTTCATATTTGGCATCCTTAGAAGCTTTGTCATGTTCCACAGAACGGTCCATCACAAATTCCACAAAACCTGGACTGTTAAACATAAGTTTCTGAGCCCAGGGCTGGTTTGCAATAGCCTGAAATGAAAGATGGAAGAGAATATGGTCATCTGGGCCTTAAGAAGGTGCGCCTGTGAGCAGAACAACACAGCACGCAGAAATACACGTGGCAGCACAGACCTTAAAGACATCATCCTTTGTCCAAGTAAACCAATTCCCAAGAAACATATTTTAAATAATTTTATATACTAAAAGTTTTGTATACAAAGATGTTCATCACACTGTGGAAGCTGTAACTTTTTAATAATGGGCCCAGATAGGTAAACTGTGGCTCGTTACGACTTATTTGTAAGGAGCCTAACAGCTTGAGTAATCTACCAAGTGAAAGACGCAGAGCGGTGATTCTCACCCTCCTAACACTGCGGCCCTGTACTACAGCTCCTCATACTGTTCTGACCCCAGCCATAACATTACTTTGTTGTTACTTCATAACTGTAATTTGCTACTGTTATGAATCATAATTCAAATATTTCTGGAGACAGAGATTTGCCAAATAGGTAGTGACCCACAGGCTGAGAACCGCTGACACAGATCCAGTTTCTAGACAACACTGAAATGGTACCAAAGCAGAGCAAAGCCAGAGGAGACAACGATGCTTCAGGGACTCTCGAGATGGGGTTCCCTGTAGACCAGGCCGGCCTTCTGCCTGCTGGGTGCCAATGGGATGGCCTCTCTTAAACCAGATGCATTCTAAACCAGTCTAAGAGTCTGATCTGGACTGATGTAGGAGGACCGCCAGTACCAGCCTGAAAACCTGCGTTCATTCCCGACAGACTGAGGAACGAGGGTGGTGAGTGGGGATGGGCAGAGGTAAGGAGCACACTAATCACTTTCCCTCTGGAAACACTGCACTCCACGAGTCAATGCTAAAACCAAGATGGAATGTGAGCACACAACTTTGTGATCTGAAATCTACTATTTTTCAGTCTTTTTCAAATTTTAAAATGAGTCAGCAATCTACATGTTTATTGAGAGCTCATTACTACATTTAGTATGCTTATGGCCTCGTTTCTTCCTCAGGCTGGCAGCACGAGCCACCCACCCTCACCAAATCAGGGTTAGAAGAGCAGGAACTAAGGTCATGAGACATCAATGCAAATGGCTGGTTCAAAGGTGAAGCGTCCTGAAGCACTTTTAAAGTCTTACTGTTTTAGACCTAAATTGGCAGTCTCGAAGACGACAGGAACACCTGTGTTAAGACATGCTTTAGGAAGTCTTCCTCTCTCATTTCCTCCTAGCATGGCCTAGTGTGTGTCCTGGATTCTGTGATAAGACCACTAATGTGATTATATCAGCCAGGACAGCTGGCACAGTGCTAAGTGCTGGGGCTAAGAGGGTAAACACAGGAAGGAGCCAATGCACATTTCAACAGGTGTAATAGCTCAGCTGTGATTTTATAGCCAACTTTCTAACTATATTTATGGTCTGGCTCCCTCTACAGAATGGAAGTTCAGAAAAGGCTTAACATTTAGCAGGTAGAGGAAACTCAGCATCTGCTGAAGGAATGTATCACATATGAGGACGGGAACCATTCAACTCCACTGTAGACTCAGGCAGTGTGCTGATGCTACTGCTTGACAAATTAGCAGTGTGAGGTCAGAAAGCACAGCAGAGGTCAGAGGTAAGAAACTGGCAAACAGGCATCACCATGCACTAAGTGTCAGAGGTAAGAAACTGGCAAACAGGCATCACCATGCACTAAGTGCCAGAAGGGACAGCAGCAATTAAGGCTCAGGAAAGAGGCTGAGCACAAACTGGGGTAATCTGTGATCCAACAGCAGCTTGTTCAACCTCGAACAGCACTGGATTCCTTTTGCTGACAAACTGCTGACATGTGTCTCCCCCACTGGCCCCCGCAGTAGCAGCAGCGCAGAAACTGCTGTGTGCGCACTCAGTGGCTAGCTCACTCTGTGTGCTCTGTGTTGCGCTGGCAGTCACATAAGGACGTGTAGACAAGAGAATACCTACTGTGAACACTTTCAAGGCAGCACAGTGTAGTTCAGGAAAGGGCTGGTTACTGATGCCACGAAAGAGTTCCAGGGAGTCCCGCGATAAGGAGGAAAACCAGGATTCCGCCATCCTCAGGAAGTCATCAGTCTGCTGCTCAGGCTATGAGACAGAGAGGGAAACACGCACAACAAGGTTGGCAACTACAGTGCAGAGACTGCTGTAAACAGCACCAGCCAGCCACCTGTGCAGAATCACCCCCAAACCCATTTCTGTTGGAGGGCATGGAGTTCTCTCCAGGGTCTGTAGTTCTGCTGTTCCACTCTCCACTTAGAACGCTAGTAGTCAGGCCCTTGAGATGGCTCAGCGGGTAAAAGCACTTCCTGTGTAAGTCTGATGGCCTCAGTTCAATCCCTGGATTTTATATAAAAGTAGGAAGAGAGGGCTGGAGAGATGGCTCAGAGGTTAAGAGCACTGACTGCTCTTCCAGAGGCCCTGAGTTTAATTCCCAACAACCACCTGGTGGCTCACAGCCATCTGTAATGAGATCTGGTGCCCTCTTCTGGACAGCAAGCATACAGACAGACAGAACACTGTATACATAACAAATAAATAAATTACAAAAAAGTAGGAAGAGAGAATATTCACTTTGCAAAGTTGTCCCCTGACCTCCACATGTGTACCATGGCATGTGAACCCATACAGATACACCTCCCCCCTCCCCCCATCCCTCCTTCTCTCAGACATAACAATAAATAATTTTCTTTTTTTTTGTTTATTTATTTATTATGTATACAATATTCTGTCTGTGTGTATGCCTGAAGGCCAGAAGAGGGCACCAGACCCCAATACAGATGGTTATGAGCTACCATGTGGTTGCTGGGAATTGAACTCAGGACCTTTGGAAGAGCAGCCAATGCTCTTAACCTCTGAGCCATCTCTCCAGCCCCACAACAATAAATAAAAGTTAGGAGGTGAGGAGAGAGTCATGGGTAAGCTAACCAGAACTAAAGAAGTCCCCTGTCCTGATTTTAATGGAATTGGAATACCGGTATCCTGCATGAGTAGACAATGATGTTCCCAGAAGAAATGGGTTATTAAATGAAAACCTCAGGGACTCTTACAAGTTAACTGGGAGGCCCCAGAGAGCACCCCCCTCCCAATTAAAACAGGGTATGACCATTGCTCTTGGTTGCCCACCATAACTAAATGGTAACCCTCTTCCCAAAGACACCCAGAGAAACCAATGACTAGGAAATTCTGCCTCAGCCAGCTAGCTTCTATGGTACCAGAAAGCACTATGCAGGCTTCCAGGGAGAAGAGACATCAGTGTTCTCCAGTGCTGGCCCTGAATTCTACAATTTGACTTTCAATGAAAGACGTGTCCCTGGTGCAGAGTGCAATGACTGTGATGTGGATGACCACCTCTGACTAAACCCGAGGACTGCTGCATGAGAAAGAACTCATGCTTGGTACTGGAAATCTTGTCAAAAAGCCATAGCTGGGGGCTGGAGAGATGACTCAAGAGGTTACGAGCACCAGATGCTCTTTCTGATGACCCTGTTTGGTTCTCAGCACCCACTTGGAAGCTCACAATGACTTGTAAGTCCAGTTCCAGGTGATCTGATGCCTTCTTCTGGCGTCTGAGGGGATTGCAGACATGTGGTGCACAGACATACATCCAAGAAAACATCCACACACACAAAATAAAGTAATTGAATAAAAAAGCTCGTAGCTGAGGAAGTCATAGGTCTTAGAGGGGAACATACTATTGCTGTTTTACTTACTGGTCACATTTATACTTAAATTTGTGTTGCCTCCAACAACTTTGGTCAGAGATGTTTCTTTTTGCAGTGGGCGGCGGCTACCATGAATAAATGACTTAACTGCTCAGCCTAAAGTAAGATCTGTATCAACTCCCAACTCACCAATGCTCAGGGAGCACTGCGGAAGAATGCAAGCGTTGGTGCTGGGGGGAAGGCTCTGAAATGCTATCTTCTAGATAGAGCATGATGGCAGCACTCATAAACTCCTAGTAGGGGTGGCTGTCTGCTGTCTCCACAAATTTAAGTCAGCCAAAATCCCATTAGAGATGAGGAAGAGCTATAGCAGTTGACAGCAGCTAGGGGAGGGACAGTCTTTGCAAGTTTGGCTATGACCTCATAGCCTTGTGCACATGGATTGGATTCAGTAGTTATGAAAGAAAGGAAGAAGACAGGCACGAAGTTGGGAGGAGAGCATTGGAGGAACATGGAAAGAATGTTGAATAGGAGTGGATACAATCAAAATTTATGTACACATGTATGGAACACTTAAATAAAAATATTGCCAAAAATTTTTCATGTAATTAGTTACATAATGAAGGTTATCATCTTTTTTGTTTTTCAACACCAACACAGGGTTTCTCCACGTAGCCTTGGCTGTCCTGGAGCTCAGAGACTCTCCTGCCTGTCTCCCTCCCGAGTTGCTGGGACCAAAGGCATGCACCACCAGGTTACTGTCTTAATTACTGTGAGAAGTAGGACACCCATGTCAACACCCATGGCTGATTAGTGCCAAGCCGATGCATCCTCCCAAACATACCCTACTGCCCTTCAATAATTTCTCCATCTACTTACTGATAAATACAGAAGAGAAGAAACTGCATCCAAACATCTAGTTTTTAGCTCTGTGGAAGCATTCTTTGCTTGATATCCTAGCCTCATGAGGAGGCGTTCAAAGCGGGTTCCTGTGAAGGATTAATGGTGACATATAGCAAAACCTACCAGTTTAACCACCTCAAACAGTTAATGCACCATCACCATCTACAGAATTATCTCCAACAACCCAAACTCTAACTCTGTACCCACCCCCCCCTTCTCTCATGCCCTGGTATCCACTCTCCACAATCCTGTCTGTGAAATCATGCAATATCCACCTCCCATGCCTTAGCATGTGTTCAGAATTCCTCTGGGCTACAGCTTGTGTCACAATGTCATCCTTTTACAAGGAGATGCCAACCAGCATCACTTATCCAGCAATGCACATGGGTTTCCAATTACTGAGTCGACTGATAGTGCTGGAACAGGAGTATACAGAAACTGCTTGAGCCTGTGCTTTCCATATTGTTTAGTTTATGTATAGAGGTGGAATTGCTGGCTCATGTTAATTCTATGTTTAATTTTTCAGTGGAACTTCCATATTGTTTTCCATAGCAATTGTACCATTTCATAGTCTGATCAGAAAACATGAGAGTTTTCAATATCTGAACACTTATTATGCTTTCTTAATTAAAAAAAAAATGACTATCCTAATAGGTGTGAAGTGCAAAGGGCAATTTATTCTTTCATGCATTGTGATTACCCATCTAAAACACACAAAGAGGGATGTGTTCAGAGACCATGTGATAGACCCAAACACAGCATTCTACTTACTATGCAGGGTGAGCATGGCATACAGGACTGGATCAAAGGCCCCGGTCTGCACAAGCTCGGGAAGTCTCCTGCATTTCTGCTCCTGTATCTGGGAAGGACTATAGCCACTCCATGCAGGACTGAGAAGTGGATGCCACAGGGAAAGCACTTAAGAATCATAAGGGACACTGCAGGGGCTGTGCGTGCAGTGCATCAATTTTCAACATGTACTTCACAAGTGTGTTAAATAGTGCTGTTTCCTGTACTAGAATTTGTTGTGCAAGAAGACAGTCAAGGATATTCCACACATCATCTTTTTTTTTTTTTGTTTTTCGAGACAGGGTCTCGAACTCACAGAGATCCGCCTGCCTCTGCCTCCCGAGTGCTGGGATTAAAGGCGTGCGCCACCACCGCCCGGCTTCACACATCATCTTTTAACATAAACTCTTGGCACACACTTTTCTTTCCTGACTGTCAACCCCTGAAGAAGCTGCTGCTGTGCTGTTGTGTAATTGAGGGAGGCCTAGAGGACAACGTGAGTGAAATCCACCCAGCTTCCAGCAGCCACGACACGACACGAGCTACACCATAAAAAGCAGTCAAGGAAGATGGTTAACAGTAAACGCTGTGTGGTCCCTGTCGTGTGAAGGAACCTGAAATCTAGCAAGGAGTAAAAGCCACAGACTCAGAGGAGTGCACACCAGGGTAAAGGCTACACAAGCCTATACAAGTAGTCCCTTAACAGTTAACCGTCAGCAGATGGACCTGTGCCCTGAATCCCGGCCAGAAGTGAAAATACATCTTACGAAAGCCAAGGTAAGTAATACCAACCTGTCTTCTGTAAAACCTGCTTGCCTTCAACACTGGATCCCAGAATTCCAACAGTGTCCATGGCTACACCAATCATGGTGGGGTCCTGACTGTCCGCCATTTCAAACACTTTCTCCAGAAAGACAGGGTAGCGCTCACAGATCTGCTGAGGACTATCCATGACAGCCAGGTTTCCAAAAAACTTCACAAATCCTAAATATATTCATAAAAAATACTTTAACAGAGGGATAAGACAAATTGGGGACCATGTTTCCACAGGAATATTAATAAACTGCAGGCCAAAAAGAGGAGACAGACAAGCACTGTGCTGCCTACAGAACAGAGTCAATAAGGAGGCTGAAAGACCCCTGAGATGTGTGCTTCTGAGACGCAGAGAGAGAAGCATCTGTGAGCTTGAGGCCAGCCTGGTCTATATAGTGAATTACAGTCATGAGGGGCAAGAGAGGGAGAGCGAGGAAGAGAGAGACAGAGGTGGAGAGAGGAAGAGAGGGAGGAGGGAGGAAGAGACAGAAAGAGAGAAAGGAGGAAAGAGACAGAGATGAGAAAAGGAAGAAAAGAAAGGGAGAGGGAGAGGAAGAGAGACCATGTAAGGACCAATGATAGGAAGGCAAGCTTGAAGACATTATTGAAAGAAACTGTTAACCAGGAGACCCCACAAGGGGCATAAACCTTCAGCTACTACAAGTGCTGCCGAAAGACAAATCAGCTTCTCCTAGAATAAAATGGGTGGCATGAATCCTCCCCTACCACCTCTCCCCAGAGACCCCATGGGTCTGGTACACACAGTCAATGTCATTACTGCTATTGATTTACTTCTCACTGAACTTTTTTTGTTCTCTTGGTTTTTGAGACAGAGTTTCTCTGTGTATACCTGGCTGTCCCAGAACTTACTCTGTAGACCAGGCTGGCATCAAACGTGCAGAGATCCTCCTGCCTCTGCTTCCCGAGTGCTGGGCTTACGGGCATGCTCCAGCACCGCCCGTTCCTCTGCTGATTTTTTTTTATTTATTATTTATTATGTATACAATATTCTTTCTGTGTGTATGCTTGCAGGCCAGAAGAGGGCACCAGACCTTATTACAGATGGTTGTGAGCCACCATGTGGTTGCTGGGAATTGAACTCAGGACCTTTGGAAGAGCAGGCAATGCTCTTAACCGCTGAGCCATCTCTCCAGCCCCCTCCTCTGCTGATTTTTAACTGGGCTGTTTTCTTGCTACCAACCGTTTGTGTCCCTTATATTCTGGACGATTCTGTCCTAGTTTGCAAATACTCCTCTAACCCCAGACTGCATCTCACTCTGGTGACTGTCTCCTTGTCTGAGCAGATGCTTGGATACAATGACCAAGACCATCTTGGTCCAGACCAGCCTGAAGCTCTCCCCACTACATTTCTGGCAGCAGCTTCAGTTTCACACCTTGTGTTTTAGTCCTTAATTATACTGTGTTGAGTTCTATGATGTGAGATGAGAGTTCAATTTCGTTCTTCATTTAAATATCCAGTTTTGCCTTTTAGCATCACTTACTGAGAACAATGTACTCTCCACTGTATGTTTTGGGCATGGATTGTGTATACACGCATTTACTTTTTTTCTGTTCTGTCCTATTAGTCTGTGTGTCTTTCCAGGAGTAAGATGGTGTTTCAATCACCAAGTATTATTTTTTCAGAAGTTATCACAATGGGAGTGTTTCCTTGATCTCTCTTGGACAATTCCTTAGTGGAGAAGGCTACTAATTTTGTAGCTGTTGATCCTACAACTCCACTTAATCATTTCTTAGCTGTTGACAATCTCTTGGTGGAGTCTATGAAGCATCCTGCATGTAAGATCATGATGTGGGAGTCCCCTCTGTGTGCTGTGATTACCATTAACAAACAAAGAAACTGCTTCGGTCCTATAGCAAGGCAGAACTTAGGTAGGCAGGGAAAGCTAAGCTGAATGCTGGGAGGAAGAAGGGCAGAGGCAGAGAGAAGCCATGGAGTCAGACATGGCGAAACTTTGCTGGTAAGCTACTGCTACGTGGCGATACACAGATTAAAAGAAATGGGTTAAATTAATAAGTAAGAGTTAGTCAATAAGAAGCTAGAGCTAATGGGCCAAGCAATAATTTAATTAATACAGTTTCTGTGTGATTATTTTGGGTCTAAGCCAGCTGGGCGGCAGGGAACCAACAAGCAGCCTCCCACTACAAGATCATGCTGCCCACACACCTATGAACAGGAACAATTTCCTACCTTCCTCTAAGATTTAGAAGCCTTTTATTTTTCCCCTTTCCAACACGTCTAGAATTTCCAACACTGCACTGAACATTTCACTTGAGCACACCATCAGCTACAGACTTGTCTTGCATGGCCTGTACTGTGCTAAGATGCATCTCTTCTTTTACACTAATTGAATTGTCAAGCTAAAAAGATGTTGAATTTTTTTTTAAATCAAATGCATTTTTAGTACCTGCTGGCATGTTTTTTTGTCCTTCACTTCTGTACTCTGGTGAATCCTATTGAACAACTTGGATTTACTGAATCACTCAACGGTGACCCACCACTGATGGCTGCAGATATCTTGCACTGGAAGCAGGACTAGGAAGGGTAACCTCTGCCCTTCAGAAGCCCATGTAACTCAGCTGCTCTTACCTGGCAAATAGAAGCCAGAGAAAGGGTCTGAATCTGCTCCAACAATTATATTAGATATCTGGTCAATGACTCCTTCCTGAGCAAGGTATTGTCGTCCATGATGGGTATATGCTAGTGACGTCACCATTTCTATACAGGTGGCTCTGAAATCAAAAAGGACAAAAACGAAGAGCATTTTAAAATTGCTTTCACACCGGTTGTATTTTATTTATACCTCACATCTGAAAGGCCCTTTCATGTCCTGGTGCCCTGTTCAGAAGACAACACAAGAACTACACTATTTCCTAACTTGTTACTATGAGTTCAGATCTGAGGCCTGACCTTCTGACTGGAGGCCCAGCACTATTTCTGTAACAGAGCAGGAACATACTAAAGCAAAGAGCACACTTGGCCAGGGACAGAGGATATGGTCATAGGAAAATAGCTACAACACCTTGCAGGGCTTTGCCAAACTCATTATATTATGATCTAACGAGCGATTTCCTAAAATGCTTCCTGAAGATAAACAGCAGCCCCAAGACTGCAAACTCTGTACAGTCTCCAACAGCACAAACCACATTAAGCTCACACTTGCTTCCTGGCCCTCCAAAAAAGGGCCTTTCTCGCTAAGAACTTGTAAGTCTACATACCTGACCAGCACGTCTTCACCCGTTAGCTCTCTCAGGAGCTGGGTCACCAACCCACTTGTGGTACAGTAGTTTAAGGATTCTGAGGACACAGAAGCAATCTCTACAATTAGCTGAAAGAACCAAGGGAAAAAAGGTCAAAACAACTCAAATCTGTTAGATCTCATTTTAAGTTAAATGCAGAACTATGTACTATATATATATAATTGAATTCTTAACAATTCACGATTTACTGAATTGTAAAACTTCAGTGAACATAAAAGAAATTACTATGGTCCATTGCATCTAGGTATATGTCTAATTCCACCAAGAAACCATTAATCAGGGCATAAAAGCTTATAGCATTAACAAACAAAAACGAGTCTTTCAAACGGTACACACACACACACATACACACACTCAGTAATAGAGCACTTGCCTAATATGTACAAGGCCTGTATCTAAGTACTACAAAACAAAATAACAAAATGTATCCACACATCTGTTTTGTCACATCTTCATTTGAGAAGCATGTTTGGAAGCTTAATGAAAGACAAAGGATGCTGAGTGGCTGTAAGCAGAAGTGGTCAAATCAGGAATTTGTTTTTTACATCTTAATTATTTATTTTGTGTACGAGGGGAGGTGGGGACCAGAAGACAACTTGTGAGAGTTGGCTCTCTCCTTCTGCCATAAGGATCTGGAGACCAAATTTCAGGTCATCAGGCTTGGCAGCAAGTGAGTACAATCAAGCCATTTCCCTGGCCCAAAGATCAGGCCTATGTGTGCTACAAACATGCTGTACACCACAAATACACATGACTTAGCGTATCAATTAAAACATAAACTTGGGGAAAACAGTACTGACTGTACTTAAGAGAAACTACGGATGAGGAAAATGAAGGGAAACTCATTTGGATGCAAATACAATAGTGCAGAAAGTGGTACTGGTAGGGTGTTCTAGGGTGGTGGCAGCTACACCAGCGAGGGAGAAAGACACAACCTAAGTGAAACTAACGTGATGGGGTGTGTGACAGGGAAAACAAGCCTCTGCGAAGACAGCACAGACCAGGAATTCAGTAAGCACAGATATGGAGGCAACAGTAAGTAAGGAGCTACATGAAGGCTGAAGTTAACTCGGAAGAGAGGTATGGACTACAAGTTCATGCACGAGCGTCTTCTCACAGGCGGAAACTGAAATCATGAGAATGAATTTGCCTGAGCATAGCATGAGCAAGAAAGCGGGGGATGGGACTCCACAATCTTCGCAATGAAAACTTCAGTAAGGAATAATGAGCCAGGATGCAGAGGAAACAGACAAGGGAAAATTAGAGTGGTGAGGGAATTAGATTATAAACGGCTTCATTTTAGACGTGGTACTTACTTATGTGTGTGAACTTGGGACAACTACTTCTTCAACAGCAACATCAATACATACAACATTTACTATATTAATCAATGACACAGGGGCTAAGATAGTTTGGTCACTACAGTGCTAACATACAAGCATAAAGACCCATGTTAAAACACCAGGTGCAACTGCATGCAATTATAATTCCATTGCTGGGTAAGCAAAGACAGGCAGGTCCCTGGAGCTCACCAGCCAGGCGGCTTAGTCTAATCAGTGGATTCCAGGCCCATGAGGCCCCATCTCAAAGAACAAGGTAGAGCTGAGGAATGACACAGACTGACCTCTGGCCCCCACATGCACACATCTACATACCAAGTGTAAACACACAAAAGGAATTAAGGACGGTGTGTGTGAGGATTTTAGCAGTGTTCAACAGAAAACTGGTGGAAAGAAGAGCCAATTCTGCCCACTGCAGTACCACAGTTTTTCACTGGAGTCTTGTTAAAAGTTAATACTCATAGCACGCTGTAAGTATGTCTGTGACCATCTCATACCTTGGGCTGCGAATGCATCTCGATATTGTGAGCACCATATCATACAGGCTCTAACGCAGACTATATACTGTATGCAAATGAGCCACTTTGTCCTCCTTTGTAATTTACTACAGTTTTGAAAGCATTAGAAAGTGAGCCTTTAGTTTTTACCTCATATACCCTGTATCGGACGACATCATTTGTTTTCATTACATTTTTCAAATCATCCAGCAAATTACTTTCAAATAAAGCTTCCAGTCCAGCTTGGGTTAGTGATATTCTTGACAGGGATTTGATAGCCTTATATGGAAAGAAAATATTTCTTGTCAGGAAAGTACAGACTATTTACACCTACTTCCTACACCTGATATGAAAATTAGCATATAAAATACCTAATCTAGAGCCGGGCGGTGGTGGTGCATGCCTGTAATCCCAGCACTTGGGAGGCAGAGGCAGGCGGATCTCTGTGAGTTCGAGGCCAGCCTGGTCTACAAAGGGAGTTCCAGGACAGGCTCCAAAGTTACAGAGAAACCCTGTCTCGAAAAAAACCAAAAAAACAAAAAACAAAAACAAACAAACAAACAAAAAAACCCCTAATCTAACAGGTATTCACATTTTAGCTACTGTTATTTATAACTGGAAAACACTGAGCAACAATGTAGATGTGTCTTAGGAGCTCCCTGCTATGTGTCTGACACCAGACTGCAGATTCGATTCTACCTTAATCCTACAAAAATAGTCCACTAACCCTTCTCTGCTGACTCTAGGACACCATGCCTTGGAGAGTGTTCTAGCAAACTCACCACTTTGGCAACAGATAAATTCTCTCCACCAATGCAATAAACAATCTGTTTTAACAGTTCTACATTGTTCAGAATCTCAGTAACAGCTTCAGAATTTTCAACAATTCTTCCAATCTGAAAGAAAACAAAACAAACAAGCAGAAAGACACTTTTTCCATGGAGAACATGTTTACAAGTAGTTATTACAGCTACTATACAAATCACTACAAATACGCAAGGATCCGAATTCATTAAAGCCAAACACAAATAGGGTACAGTCATGCTTTTCAATGGAAAGGAACAATAAATAGTGGGTAAAGAGACCAGACAGGTGAATCAAAACAATATGAATCCTAACATGTTAACTTTTAGTTGCACAAATCTTGTATAGATTACTTTGAGTTTAATTTTTAAATTAAGTAATACAAAATAGGAGTACAATTTTTAATTCCAGGGCAGTAAGAAGATCAAATGAAGATGGCAAGCATCTGCCATAGTCTCTGGCATACATACGGGCAATGAGTAAACACCACCCCAACTGAGTACACATGTACACATGCGGAGAAGAGACAGCTGTGGACGTCTACTGGGTAACCAGCTGTGAACCTATGACCCCAGCAGCACTTCACACAAATGCAATGATGGTTTGGCTGCTGTGATCAGAGTTACTATCTTAACGTGTTGGCTTAATAAACTTTACACTTAGTTCATGCTTCTTCAAAACAAAATAATGTTGCAAAGTAACTTTTAAATACCTAAAAATCATTTTCTTCAGACTAAGCACTCCTTAAAGAAAAAACAACAGGTGTGTCTTGTTAACTCAAACAGCAATGACATGACACCCGGCGTTCAGTGAACAGCTGACAGTGAATGGTTGTGTGTTTACTACTAAAATTCCATACCTGGGACAGAGTGAGGGATTTTACAGAATCATCTGGGTGAGTCAGTCCCTTCTGTAGGTCAATCCTGAGGTGTCTGGCCAAGTGAACTGGCTCCACAGCTTGGAGCAACCTCTCCAGAATGGATACACACAAAGCAGTCTGTTCCCTAAAGGAGACACCACAGAGCTTATCCACATCATGTCAGACTGGACACAACCACCAAACACCTAAAACTTGGCACCATGACAATTTCTTCCTAAAGATTTTTTTCAAGGTAGCAGGTTCTAGTCACGCATTAGACATTTCGTATGTATCTATTATCCACAATGCCTGTGTTGGGGCGATGGCTCAGTGGGTAAAGCACTTGCCAAGGAAGACTGAGGACCTGAGCTGGGATTCCCAGAACCCACAGAAGTTGGATGACTCAGTGAAAAGACTTGCCAAGCAAGGCCTGATGACTCGCAGAATCCATGGGAAAAGCTGGATATAGCAGTATGCATCTGACAGGGCAAGATGATCATGGGCCAGCTAGCTTGGAGCAGAGGTTCTCAATCTGTGGGTCGTGACCCCTCAGAAAAACATACGAGGTGTTTATATCACGATTCACAACAGCAGCTAAATTACAGTTATGAAGCAGCAACAAAAACAATTTTATGGATGGGGGTCACTACAACATGAGGAACTAACTGTATTACAGGGTCGTAGCATTAGGAAGGTTGGGAACCACTGGACTGGATGGGTGGTGGTAGAAAAAGAAACAAGAGAGGTCTTGTCTCAACAGTAGGAAGGTGAGAATGGACTCCCTGAAGGTGTATACACCAACACACACACCGCACGCACGCACGCACGCACGCACACAATTTCTCATGTAAAGAACTTAAAAAGTAGTGATGGGTTAAACTGTATTGTGTCTAAACTGTAGGTACTATGTGACCCGTAGCTGCCAGACAAGCTAGAGGTGGTGAAGCCAGAATGGCTCTTGCTTGACTTCTATGGTGTGTATCAGTAATCTTAGGTGTTAGTTATTCCCTCACAAATAGTGTAAGATCAGACTTCATCAACAGAATCAGATTCCCCATCAGCAGTCTCTTACATGGTCTCTCCACAATAACAGTAGTGTAAGGTGGGGGCTGCCAGAATTCTCCGGACAAAAGCCACTCCCACAGATTGCCTGCCTCTGACGGACAGAGCACATGAAAATTGCTCCCCAGACTAGCACCCCATCAAGCAGCAAACTGTCTTTTCCACTTCACTCTAAACTTCCCAACCCACAGGGTGACTTTCCAGTCTTTTCACTTTCCATAGGAAAAGCTGGCAAGGAGCAGTGGGAGCCCTGTGAGATAGCCTGGGCTACACGTTGCTCTATATAGCAAGATCCTACAGTAAACAAAACAAAACAAACAACAGAAACTGGAGCTGGGACCCCTGTTAAAAGCCACAAGCAGCTTCTTGTATTCAGCATGCATTCTATGTTCAGCGCCCAGGAGATGCAGAGGAACAAAATGTGGTTCCTGTCACAGAGGACACAGAAATGAAACAAAGGAACTGTGTCTAGAATCACTGACAGAGACGATGATAACATCCACTAAGATGTCTGAGCAACAGTTGCATGCAGTTGGAGGGATGGCCCTTCCGCAGGGCCTTCACAGAATAGGGACCGAGAAGAGGGCACACAGAAGGTAATGGTATGAACGAAATTGCAAGTCATGCCTGAAGTGTTACATGGTGTTACATGATAGGTGGAGCAAATGACAGAAGTTACACTGGAAAGCTGACTGGACATCGAGCAGCAAGGGCCCATGGCCAGACTCTATAGTCATGATTTCCCACTGTAGGCAAAGGCAGCCAGGGACAAGCCAGTCCAACTGACCTGACACCTTAACTCTGGCTACAGGGTGAGGACCGGCCAGAAAAAGGAATAACCACTAAAACAGTGACTGTAAAGCCAACTCAACAGACCAGCAAGAGGAGTGAAAGCTCTCTGAAGAGAGGATAGAGGAGGGAAGCAAGCCCCCAAAAGCATCAGTGTTGACCAAAGAGCTCACTATCTTTTCAAATTAAAAAAGTCACTTCTTAAATTCTGACTCACATAAAAAATCCATTAAATGATCAAATGACCAAACCCAAGATGCTTTTAATTTAAAACTATAGACGCATATTAAATCCAAAGTTGTTACGCTAACAATTTAACCGCAGTTTCTACAGATAATCCTGGGTTATGCAGTTTACTTTAGCTTGTAGGGGTATAAATGGATTATATACATTATATACATTACACATATCGGTATCATTAGCTTTGCAATTTCCTTTTTCCCCCCACTCAACATTTTCATATTCACACACAGAACTCCAATTTCTAAATAGCTGGGTAACTGCACTATAAGCTATGTCCTTAATTTGGTTGTTTCTAGTTTTTGCTGTCTCACCCATCTGTTCTGACTACCCCTCTGTATACAGTACACCGCCATGCAAGGGAACAAGCGTTCGTACATAGGCGCTGAAATTAAAAGGCATGCGAGGGATCCCGCCACACTTCCAGCACCAGATCCTATTTGAAGAGGCGAAGCGTCAAGACCTGGTCAACACGCATTTGTGCGGTTTTGGCAATTGGACAACCTTCACTTTTCTCCCGCAAACCCATGGGGCCATGCCTACCCAGCCGTCTCCCAAGCCCCGGGCTTCTCTCACCGATTGTTCCCGTTAAGCAAGGAGAAGAGCGGGCCGAGGCGTAGTTCCGCCGCCTGCTCGCGAAGCTCGTGGAGCGGCACGGCGTGAACCACGGACTGCAGCGCACGCAGTTCCTCCAGCGGCGCCTCCAGCCGGGCCACCTCCCTCAGGAGCGCCACAGCCTGAGCCGCCATCTTCCTGGCGCCAGTCTGCCCGCCCACCTATTAGGATCTCGGGCCCTTCTCCGAATCTCGCGAGATCGGAGGGGGCGTGGTCGTTCACGAATTTGTCAAGTCTCGCGAGGGATCCTTGGGGACTTGCTCAGAGCGGTGCACGCCACTTTGTAGTTAGCGCCAAGTTGGTAGTCTTGCCGCACCCGGACGGCTGTGACGGTGAGGACGTCCGGGGAACCAAGAGGCGTTGTGCATGAGCTCCTCAAAGTCCTCCGTGGCGGAACCGGGATTATCAAGTCAAGGTACATGGTCCTACCTCAGGAAGACGTGACGAAAGTTCTGAGAACTGGAACCTGGACGTGATGCGGCACCATGTTGACATCTGTCATGCAACTGGAAGCTTGATTAAGAGATGTTTGGGGCAGAAAGTTTCCGGCATCTTCAAGATGCTGTGCGTGATAAAATCATCCAGAGGATGGACACTGCATTCGTCTTTGGAGTGGAGGTCCAGGCAGTAGAGGGGCTGGCCTCAGGCTCTGAAGGCCCTTTGCAACCAAGCCAAATGCACATACAGGTGGGAACCAAGGGTCAAGGGCAATCCATATCCGTTTCATGAAAGCATGAGAAAAAGTTCGGAAATCGCTGCTGTCTTGAGAAATACGACATTATTGGAGGAGGAAGAACCATTAAAAGCTAGGCGACAGCTGTGCTGGCGAATCTTATGTCAACCAGACACACAGCTCAGAGTTATCTGAAAGGAGGGAACCTCAGTTGAGAAGCTGATCCAGTTGTAGGGCACTTTCTTAATAAGTAATTGATAAGGGAGGGCTTAACAAATTGTGTGTGGGGCCATCCCCTGGGCTGGTGGTCATGGATTCTATAAGGAAGCAGGCTGAGCAAGCCGGGAGGAGCAAGCCAGTAAACAGTGCCTTCCATGCCGTCTGCTTCAGTTCCTGCCTCCAGGATCCTGCCCTGTTTGAGTTCCTGTCCTGACTTTCTTCAATAATAAACCACATTATGGAGATATAAACAAATAAACCCCCCTTTCCCCCCCAACTTGCTTTTTGGTCATGGCATTTTGTTGAGGCAATAGAAACCCTAACTAAGATAACAGCCAGCTATTTCAAGCAGTTGGAAAGTCCAGAGCTGTGGACTTCATCTGGTCCTCAGCCACGGAAATGAGCCTGTTTGGGAAATAATGCTTCCTGTACTTTTAAGGAAAGAGACAAAAATCCAGAAAGCTTAGAAAAGACCAAGGATGTGATATCCCTGTGTGAGTGCATGCCAGACACTCAGGTGAAAAAAAATAAAATTCTGTGACTTTACAAAGACCCTAGTAGCACTTGTCTTTTGAAAAGAACCACCATTTTCCTGTTTTATGCCTTGCTCACCCAGAAGTATCAATAACCATTGCCTTTTTTTCTGAATTACTTCATAATTGTTGTAGTCTTGAAGCCTAACTGGTAGAGAAAAGTCTTGAATTAAAGGTGCTGGTGATTTTGGACAAAAGTTCCAGTCATTCAAACTCCCCTTTGCTTATTCTAATGTTGATACTATGGCTCTTCTCCCCACTTCCTCCCAGAGGCTTGTTTCCTGTAGCCCTTGAATCGTATTTTTGAAGCACCAAGAAGACATTAGATCACTTTTCTCACTGCATTGAAAGAAAAAAAACCCAGCTCACTTATGAAACACAGCGGCTGCTAGGCAGTGGGAGCACACACCTTTAAACCAGCACTCAGGAGGCAGAGACAGGCGGATCTCTATAAGTTGGAGGTCAGCCTGGTCTACAGAGCGAGTTCCAGACAGTCAGGATTGTTATACAGAGAAATCCTGTCTTAAAACCATAAAAACGCAACAAGAACAAATAAGAAGACAAAGAAACACAGGGGCATTACATTACTTTTAGTAGTTGTAAAAGAAGTAAAAAATGACACATAGCCAACCATTCTTAAAGCTTGGTAGAAACTGTAGGAGTATGCTGTGAATTCTCGCATGTTTCACTAGAGCTGATGAGGTTGAAAAAGAATCTGTTAAAATGATGGGTTAAGACTAACATTAAGAAAAGTGAAAACAGCAAACCAAGAGTCTATCCTTAGACAAGAAGACCAGTCCTTACAAGCAAAGATTAAAGATAACTCTAAGGAAATTGGAAGCTGTGTATGCCGGGCCTCAGCCCTCCTTCACTGGCTACAATTGATAGGGATCCTGTGCCTAAGATGGCTCAGCAGGTAAAGGCACGTGCTGTCAAACTGATCAGTGTTGTCGAATATTAGCTGAAGATGTGTTCATTTGTTTATGCTGTGGAACATTTATTTAATGATGCAAACACGTGTTGCATTCTTTTATGTTGCATTTATTTAGCTCTGTGAAGCTGTGTTACTGTGCCTGTCTAAAACACATGATGGTCTAATAAAGAGGTGAATGGCCAATAACAAGGCAGGAGAAAGAATAGGAGGGGTTGGCAGGCAGAGAGAATAAATCGAAGGAGAAAAAAGATCGAAAAAAAGGGTAAGGAGGAAGACTTCAGGGGCCAATCACCCAACTACACAGCCAGCCGCAGAATAAGATTGAAAGTAAGATATACAGAAGTAAGAAAAGGAAAAAGCCCAGAAACAAAAGGTAGATGAGATAATTTAAGTTAAGAAAAGCTGGCTACCACAAGCCAAGCTAAGGCTGGGCATTCATAAGAAAATATATGTCTCTGTGTATATTTATTTGTAACTGGGTGGCAGGCCCCCAAACGAATAAGAGAGCAAAGAATAAAAAAACAACCAACTACAGATCTGAGTCCCATTGCTCAAGGTGGGAAGGAGAGACTCCACAGGTTGTCATATGGATGCCATACTGGTGTGGGAGTGCTGGCACTTAGACACACACCCCTCCATACACCAATAAAAATGTAGTAAAAGACTGCGGTGGATTTATAAATAACCTATAAAGACGTAGAAGAGAACTTATAAAACAAAGAGACCGGAAGCAAATGAAGTAGGAAATGGAGAGGGATGCAGGATCCGAGTCTGAGGCAAAGTCTGACACAGGCCCGGAAGGGAGACGCAGGATTTTATAAGGAGGAGAAGTGGAAGGACTGATAGGAATAAAAGGCTTCTGGAGGTGCTGCTGTAATTCCAGGCCGTGGCGTTAAGACTGAGAGTTTGTGTCTCAAGATACTGCCAAAGCCGTTCATGCACAATTAGACTTTGGGATCTAACCTGAGAATCGACTATGAAGAAAACAGAAGCTCAGAGGCTGGTGGTCTCTCCCCTGCCGTCACGCCCACACCAGTCACACACCATCAGAGGCTGGTGGTCTTCCCTGCCGTCACACCCACACCAGTCACACACCATCAGAGGCTGGTGGTCTCTCCCCTGCCGTCACGCCCACACCAGTCACACTCCATCAGAGGCTGGTGGTCTCCCCTGCCGTCACGCCCACACCAGTCACACTCCATCAGAGGCTGGTGGTCTCCCCTGCCGTCACGCCCACACCAGTCACACTCCATCAGAGGCTGGTGGTCTTCCCTGCCGTCACACCCACACCAGTCACACACCATCAGAGGCTGGTGGTCTCTCCCCTGCCGTCACGCCCACACCAGTCACACTCCATCAGAGGCTGGTGGTCTCCCCTGCCGTCACGCCCACACCAGTCACACTCCATCAGAGGCTGGTGGTCTCCCCTGCCGTCACGCCCACACCAGTCACACTCCATCAGAGGCTGGTGGTCTCTCCCCTGCCGTCACGCCCACACCAGTCACACTCCATCAGAGGCTGGTGGTCTCTCCCCTGCTGTCACGCCCACACCAGTCACACTCCATCAGAGGCTGGTGGTCTCTCCCCTGCTGTCACGCCCACACCAGTCACACACCATCAGAGGCTGGTGGTCTCTCCCCTGCTGTCACATCCACACCAGTCACACACCATCAGAGGCTGGTGGTCTCCTCTGCTGTCACATCCACACCAGTCACACTCCATCAGAGGCTGGTGGTCTCCCCTGCCGTCACGCCCACACCAGTCACACACCATAAGAGGCTGGTGGTCTCCCCTGCCGTCTCGCCCACACCAGTCACACACCATCAGAGGCTGGTGGTCTCTCCCCTGCTGTCTGGCTTTCAGCATCACTAGCACCGCTACCGTTACACCCACACCAGCACACACCATACTATCCAGTCTAGTCATTGAGCAGGTGGTGAGCAATAACATCTCAGGAAAAGAACTGAGTTAAATGGTCATTATTAATGCCCATTTTCATTAATGTAATATGCTGTGGGATGTCTTTCTTTATGCTATGAATTGTGTTGCCCTCATTGGTTGATCAATAAAGCTGCTTTGGCCTATGACAAGGCAGGATACAGTCAGATGGGAAATCCAAGCAGAGATATAGGAGAAGGATGGAGTCTGGGAGACACCATCCAGCTGCCCGGGGAACAACATGCCAGCAACTGGTAAGGCCACATCCAGGGGACAATGCTTAGATTAATAGAAATGGGTTAATTTAAATGTAAGAGCTAGCTAGTAATAAGGCTGAGCCTTCAACTGAACATTTATATATAATATTAAGTTTCAGAGTGGTTATTTGGGAATTGGTGGGCAAGAGAGGAACCTCCAGTTACAGTAATAGGTATGAAGGACTTAGTATAGTCCTGATTTACCTCAGTAGGCTTATGAAGGTTTTTTTTAGGGACCTCCAGTCTTATTTTTTTCTAACTATGTATTTTATACAGATAATTAAGTTTTTCAGTTACAAGTAGAACTTGTTGGAAAGAATAACTGCTTTTGAAATTGTAGCTTGGTTATGTTTTGTAAATTATTCAATATTAATCTTTTGTTCTTCATATCTATTAAGGAAGTATGAACCTCTCCTTACTCCGCTCATCTCAGATTAGGTAATTTATCTGAATGTGCAGCTAACAAGTTAACTCACTTTAGTTATTGCTTTCGCTAGGAAACCAAGGCTTTAACAGTAGATAGTTAAATACTATCTATTGTTAAACCACTGGAGACTGTGAACTGCTCTCATGACCAGATTTGGTTAATGGTATGTTTTTCTGCAGTCTGAAACAATTTTTGGTTTGTTTTCCATATTCCTTCATTTTTGTTTGACAGTTTGTTATATTATTTGAAATATAATAAAATTTATCAGTTTGTTTTTTAACTTACTGTTTGACTATTTATTGTATGTGTCTGTGGGTGTGTGTGTCACAACAACTGTGTGGAGGGCAGAGGGGCTCCCTTTCCATCATCTGGGTTCTGGGATTAAACTCAGTTCATCAGGTTTGGTGGCAAGCACCATTACTCTGGCTCAAACTTGCCAGTTCAAGTGTCTATTCTGATCCCTGTATAGCTAAGCTCTTTCCCTGGGCCGGGAGATGCCAAGTTAGGATGGTCCATACTGAAAAGCTCAGCTTGGCAGGTGAGTGCACTTGCTGCCAGCTTGGTTCCTAGGACAAACCACCTGATTGACAAGAGAGAATGGACTCATGCAGAGTTGTCCTCTGACTCCCATAGGTGCAGCGTGTTACCTGTGCCAGAATTGCACAGATACACCACAGAAGAAAATGGACAAAATGTAGTAACGTTCTTTTAAAAAGATCCAAAGATCAAAAGGAATATATATTTTTATATTTGTTCATTTTTAAGCGTGTAAGTGTGAGTGGTGCCCGTGGAGGTCAGAAGAGGGTGTTGGGTCCCCTGGAACTGCAGTTATGGGCGGTTGAGAGCTGCTATGTGGGTTCTGAGAGTCGAACCCATGCCCTCTGGAAGAGCAATAAATGCTCTTGAACACTTAGCTATTCCTCCAACCACAGAACAAAATAATTTTTTAAAAAGTTGGAAAGCATAGCAACTGAAGACTCTGCACTCCTGCAGGACAGTGCTCAGCCGCAGGCTTACTGCTTTTCTCCAGTCTGCGCCCTCCTCGGCGGTGCTTCTGAGTGTTTGATGTATGTACATAGGATGGTGCTGGGCTTAATCCTAGGAACGGACAACTGGCCTGGGAAGGGAGGGGTCAGTTCACTGGGGAGAGAATTAGGGAGCAAAAGTTAAGGTACAGGTAAGGAGAGAGGGAGGGAGGGACGGGGAGGAAGGAAGGACATGTGACAGAGAAGCAGTTCTGTTTGTACCTACCTCATTTGTTTGTCTTTGTGGGTGGCTTTGGCCAGTTGACAGAAGGGTTTTATCTGTGTTTTGCGTCTTCGTGTGCTGTGGTTTGTGAAGGTTTTGTTTCCTAAGGAAGGTTTGCTTTATCTGTATATCTATGATTTTATATTTTGCTTGAAGATTAAGAAAGGTAGCATTCTTTTTGCCTGAGGAGAAGCTCTGGAAAGTAAGCTCAAAGAAGTGAGACCAGTGGTGGAAAAACACCCTAGTTCCCTCCAGGCCGGTCTCCTGGCCAGCCAGGCTGGGAGGGGCAGAGTGGACGTTGTCCTGGAAAAAGGTATGTGGGGGTGGAGGAGGCTGCAGTTTGGGCCCTGGGTTCCGCCTACAGCCGGCACCCTACCTAGACTGCAGATCGCAGTTACTGCCTAGAGCTACATCCCCAGCAACGGGCACCATGGACAAGCAGGAGTCAAGGTGCCCTCGGCCGGGCCCCCTCAGGCTATTTGTCCTTACTTGCCTCCTGGTGAGTGCCCCCCAAACAGTCCTCTGCCTGAAGGTATTTCTCTCTTCACTGCTCTTGTGGTTTTGAGCTGTGAGCAGCTTGTGGGAGAAGAATTGAGATCTTTGGAAGTCCTCAATGTCCTGGAAGCTGTCTGGTGTCTCAGGGTTACCAGCCCCCTTTCATGTCTGCCCTGTGGGGTAAGTGGGGCTGTCTTCTGCGAGGGCAGGACACATGAGAATGTCTGGGACATTCCCTCCTAAGCCCTTTGCTAGGATCTTTGGCTGTCCCGCTGACCATTGTGCTTTCCTGCCCTTTTCTCGGGCTGCTTTCTCATCTCTGAAATGCCCTAGGAAGTAATAATGTCAGACGTACCACAAATGGTGGGGAGGACAGGACTGGAGGAGAGGCTCAGGCCCAAGGTTCTCTCCATCCCGGGGTGCTCATTTGGGGGGATTGCTCCCCTTCTCTGGACATTATTTCCTCATTTGCAGAAACTGCTGTAAACCTCTTTGACGATTTTTGTTTGTTTTGTTAAGTTCTGAATTTGTAGCCAGGAAAACATAGAAACTGAATGTTGTGTTGATGTCAAGGTATCTACAAATTCCTTTAAAGTAGGTTGGTTAACAGGTTAAACCGCTGGGTTGGGTGAGGCTTCCTCTGCCTCCCCGCAAGCTTGCAAAGCCGACTAGCCTCTGAAAGGCCAGGCAGATACTCCAGGACACTGAGGAAGAAGCCTAGCATGCTGGTGCACTCCTGTTATCCCACCACTCAGGAGGCTGAGGTGCAGGGATCCCTGCAAGTTTGAGGTTTACCTGGTCTACACAATGAGTTCAGTTCATCCCAGGCTACATAGCAAGACCCTGTCTCAACAAAAGGAGAATGGCTGGATCAAATAGGAATAACTGAACAGATACATAAAGTATTTTCTATAAGTGTAAAATTAGCAAAGACATAAAAGATATAAAGTATCCAAACTTTATCATGTAGAGACATTTCTTTAAAACAAGTTTGGGGAGGTGCTTTAGTCAGTAGGACGCTTGCCATGAACCTCATTCGGATCCCCTGCACCTATGTAAAGAAGAGCCAGGCACAGCAGCACACATCTGGGACCTCAGCACTAGGGATGCTGGGGACAGGTAGACCTCTGGAGCAGTTTGACCAGCCAGCCTAGCTGATTCAATGAACTCTAGGTTCAGTGAGAGACCCTCCTGTCTCAAAACCAAACTGGGCCCTGGACAAAGAACTACCGGCAATGGAGGAATTCTGAGAGCAGGAACACTAGTCTTCCCTAGGGAGGAGCCCCTAATTGGATGGCCATTACCAAGTGGTCAGTCCTGAAACTGATCTGTCTGTCTGTCCGTCCATCCATCCATCCATCCATCCATCCATCCATCCGTAACACTAGATGGATTGAACAGGTTGCATTTATATATTTATGTGTTTATATATATGTGTGTAATAATAACAGAGAAAAGGAGGGGAAATGGGAAGGATTGGAGGGAGGAAAAGGAAGAGGAATGACATAATTATATTTTAGTTTCCAAAGAATAATTTTTTTTTTTAAATATTTATTTATTTATTTTGTCTGTGTCTATGCCTGCAAGCCAGAAGAGGGCACCAGACCCCATTACAGATGGTTGTGAGCCACCATGTGGTTGCTGGGAATTGAACTCAGGACCTTTGGTAGAGCAGGCGAAGCTCTTAACCTCTGAGCCATCTCTCCAGCCCCCAGAATAATTTTTTTTTGAGACAGGGTTTCTCTGTAGCTTTGGAACCTGTCCTAGAACTAGCTCTTGTAGACCAGCTTGGCCTTGAACTCACAGAGATCCGCCTGCCTCTGCCTCCTGAGTGCTGAGATTAAAGGTGTGCACCACCACCACCCGACAAGAATAATTTTTTTAAAAGGTAGAAGATGCCCTACTCTGACCTCCGACCTTCACAAGCGCAGTGCATCTGCACATCTATGCACGTGTGCATACACAACACACAAATTATAGCCAGGGCTTTTCCCGTTAAATTGAATGGTGACTTTGACAGTGGTCAGTATAGCCGCCTTCAGTTGTAGCAAATGTTTCTGTCAGGGAATGCATTCATTCATTTTCTAAACTGCCACCCATCATTGGGTGCACACTGACCTTATGTACTTATGGTCCTTTGTTAGTGTTCATGAATAATTTTCACTATCCAGAGTGCTAAGGGTCTTGTCCGATGGGGTAGGTGATAGCAACTGCAGTGTATTTCAGTGTGACAGCAGTTCTGATCCCTACCTGCTAGATGACAATAGTGTCCCCTCCCAGCCGTGAGTCAGAATTGTCTTCAGACATTGCTAAGTCCCCTGGAGGACAGAAATCACTCTGACTTGAGTTTGGGCCCCCTGCCTCTAGTTACTTTGAGCTGAGGGCTGCCTTAGGTAACATGGGATAGTCTCCTGCCTCTTAGTATGTTGGCTGTGAGCTCACCTCATGCTCCCAGGGCAGTTAGTGTGAGTTTGTATTCAGCACGTGTCCCCCCTCCCCCATGCCTGCTGCCTGAAATGCCCCAGATCTTAGCTATTTCAGCAGAGGAACAGGCAGGCTGCCTCCCCCCTTTCCAGTAACATTAGTATCTTGATTCCTTTTTTGTGGGTCAACCTTCCCTTGATAAGTGCTCCTTTTGCTTACAGCTCTGCTCAGGACTCATGTTAGGGAACTCAGGGGTCACCAATCTCTGCCCTGGCTGCCATTGAGATGTCAATTAAAACAGCCGAATAGTGAAAAGATTGAGCCACACTGGGAAGAGGATGAAGACCCAGGATCCCCTAAGTCCGTTCTCACTGTGTTCGGATCTGCACACGTAGGCTGTCCAGGTCAGGGTGGCTCACGCACTACTGACCCATCATTGTCTAGGATCTGGTCTCCAACAAGGTGATTCAACAAATGTCAGCAGTATGTGAAATCTGTTTCTGGGAGGCGTCAAGTACAGCCTTTTTCTTCTCCCAGCATGAGCATCCTGGGCAGAAGGAGAATTCTCGTGCCTTGGGTCCACTGTTTCAACAATTGTATGGTCCATTGAGGGATCCATGTAATACTTAGAGTGGATGGTTCCCAAACCTTGCTTTCTTCACCACATTAGCTAATCTTGACACCGCCATCTGACTTGCATTCCGATAGTTCATTTTACTAGCCTGCAAGTATTTATGCAGAGTCACGTGTCAAGAGGTGAACTGGGGCTATGGCCATAAAGCACAGCCCTTCCCTTGTGTTGGGGATCCCAGGCTGTGCGTCTCTTCTCATGAGAACCCGGGCACCTCGGAGTCAGGCAGTGGGGCGGCAGGGGTCCCTATCTCCACCTCTGGCACCTCGGAGTCAGGCAGTGGTGTGGGGGATTCCCCACCTCCACCTCTGGTACCTCCTAGTCAGGCAGCACGGGGTGGGGAGGGGATTCCCCATCTCCACCTCTGGCACCTCTGAGTCAGCAGCACGGGGTCGGGGTGGGGTCCCGTCCCATCTCCAGCTCCTTAGTGAGACTGACAGAAGGGGAGGGAGTACCTTGTACCTCGTCAGAAGCCATAAGCTGTTAGCCGTATTGACAATATCCAAATCCTCCCTCTAGTGCTTTTATTTTTGCCCTGTAAACCAAGCGAGTTTTCATTAAAGAAGCACAGTGACAGCTCCTTGAAAAGGCTGGTTCATTTTTGCTGCCTGGCTGTGGGGTCAGTTCTGAAGGGTAGGATGCTGTGTTGAAATGGAGGTACTAGTGGAAACTGTAGGAGGCAAGAAGAATTCAACCAGAATATTAACATCTAACTCAGGGCATTAAAAACATTGCCTAGGGGCCTGGAGGGACAGTTCAGTGGTTAAGAGCACTGGTTGCTCTTGCAGAGGACCTGGGTTTGGTTCCCAGTGCCCACATGATAATTCACAACCATCTGTAACTCCAGTACCAGGGGAATCCTCTGGCCTTTGCAGGCATCAGATACGCACATGGTACCTGGACATACATGCACGCAAAACACCCATTGTAACTTGCTTTTTTACTCTTTGGGGCCCACCATCCTACTCCCAAATAAATAGAAATTTATTCTTACTTATGAATGACTGGCTTTATCTTGGCTTGTTTCTAGCCAGCTTCTCTAGCTTAAATTATCCCATTTCTCTTTAACTATGTTTTGCCTCTGGACTTTTTGTCTTTATTCTTTTTTTTTTATTTATTATGTATACAATATTCTTTCTGCGTATATGCCTGAAGGCCAGAAGAGGGCACCAGACCTCCTCATTTCAGATGGTTGTGAGCCACCATGTGGTTGCTGGGAATTGAACTCAGGACCTTTGGAAGAGCAGGCAATGCTCTTAACCGCTGAGCCATCTCTCCAGCCCCTGTCTTTATTCTTATCTCTTTCTTTTTTCTTACTCCGTGGCTGGCTGTGTGACTGGGTGTCTGGCCCCTGGTGCCCTCCTCTCCTTCGCTTTTTCTCTCTCCTTGCTTGCTCTCTCTCCACCCCCAGCCTACATTTCTCCTCCTCTTTATTCTCTCTGCCCACCAGCCCCACCTATCCTTTATCTGGCCTCGCTATTGGCCGTTCAGCTCTTTATTAGACCAATCAGGTGTTTTAGATAGGCAAAGAATCACAGCTTCACAGAATTAAACAAATGCAGCATAAAAGAATGCAACACATCTTTGCATCATTAAACAGATGTTCCACAGCACAGACAAATGTAACACATCTTAAACCAATATTCCATAACAACCCATACATATGGAAAATGTTTTTAAGAAAGTAAAACGACAACAAAACATTCAGGGCCCATCAAGAGCTAGAGTCAAAAGCCATGTGGTAATATAACATGGAGGGAGGACAGGGGTGCTCTACAAGAAAGCATGAGTCCAGGCTGGGAAACAGGAGGGGCAGCCTTGCTCAGTCTGGCTGGGTCACAGCCTGACCTAGACGGCCTCTGTCCTTTGAATGACTCTATACTGATGCTGGAATGGAAGGTACTTCAGCTCTTCCTCCCAAGCATTGTCATGAAGATAATAAGAAAATGATAACTCAGCTGTTTTCTCCCACAGTTGCTGACACGTTGCTCAGGATCTGAGCCAGTGAGTGACTTCCTAAACAGACTGCTTTCTGGCCGGTCTCCACTCCTCACCGGCCCATTCTTCTGCTCTGATGGCCATTCTGTCCCCCCCCCCCCCCCCCCACTTCAGACCTCCACCACACCTGCACCTGACACCCGACGCCCCGGTTTGACCCCTTTCTTTGTAATTCCTTCCCTTCATTCATTGCCTTCTGATCTTCTCCCTATCCATAGAAACAGGGCACTCCATACCCCATACTCCATACCACTCCATACCCTAAAGGTGGTTTAGTGCCTTGGTGCCCCCATTAATAATCTGACTTACTATTTTAGATCTTATTCAAATGGTGTTTTGGTTTAAATGTTTGCCCACAGGCTCATGTAAAAGTTGAATACTTGGTCCCCAGCTTGTGGTATGGTTTGAAGGGACATAGACTCTCTGGAGAAGGTAGGTCATTGGAGGTGGGCCTTGATGCTTACGATTTGGCTTCTCCAATTTCTGCTTCCTGGTATAGCAAAATGTGAACAACCAGCTTCCACACATTGCCTTCACCATGATGGGCTACCATTGTGTGTGTGTGTGTGTGTCCCTGCATGTGTTTGTGCAGCTGCACACACATCTGTGAAAGTCAGTGTTGAGTGTCTTCCACTCTTGCTCTCTATTTATTTGAAGTAGGGTCTCTCACTGCACCTGGAGCTGATTGCCTGGCTAGACTCTGTCCACTGGGCCCCTGTGAGTCTCTCGTCTGCCTCCTAGCACTGAGATTACAAGCGTGTGCTGTCATGCCCAGAGTTTTGCCTGGGTGCTGGGCATCTAAGTTCAAGTCTTCATGCTTGCCCAGCCAGACATTAGCCAGTGAGCATCTTCCTAGCCTGACTGGATTCCCTTAAACTAAGTCCAAATCAATTTTGCCTCTGTTAATTTGCTTCTTGTCAGGTATCCGGTGGGAACAACGGCAAGAGAGACTAGCATGGGAAACTGGTGTGAGAAGCAACCTGTTGGTGTGCTGAGCTCGACTCTCCTGTTTGCTACACCTCTGGAAGTGATTTGTGGGAGGAATCTGAAATGGTTTGGAGTTGTGGGCTAGAGAACCCCTGGATTGCTGTAAATAGAGCCTGTGGATCATTGTGGTGGCCGTTGAGAGGACCAGAACGACTGTGAATGTGGGTGGCAAGGATTCTACAGAGAAGCTCTTTGAACCTGAAGTTCAGGGTGGAGCCCAGCAAGGAGAAAGCAGCTATTGGCCCTTAGGAGAAATGAACCTTAGCTGCTGGGGCATTAGGAAAGGTGCCTTAGGGCAAAATCCTGCGCGTGGAAAACTTCATTGCGAATTCATTTGAAGAGAGTACCCGGCTGGAACAGGCTACCCAGGGTCGTGGCTTTCCAGGCTTAACCTTAAAGGCACACAGAGTACACTGCATCTGTGGTCTAAGTGGGACAGGCTACATCTGAGCTGGCAATGGAACTTGGATACTGGAGTTACAGGGTCTGTGTCTGCCCCGCAGGGTCTGTGTCTGCCCTGCTGGGTCTGTATCTACCCTGCTAGGTTTTGCTCATGCGTTGGCTCAGTTTTCCATACTGAGCCCCTATTCTTCCCTTTGTGAACAAGAATGTTCGCATTAGGGTACTGCATGCATTTTGAATTATAGGGGCACACAGACAGGAGACTGCCTTGAGTCTCCTGACTTTGAACTTCTGTAGAACTGTAAGGCTCTGAGGACTTTTCAAGATAAACTGAATATAATGAATGTTTGAATTGTGAGGTCACCATGAACTGATGGGGACAGGTATAGAATGTTCTGGGCTGATTGTGAAGTGTCCATGGTGGGTGCGTGCGTTTGAACATGTTTCCTAGCTGATGATGTGACTTCAGACACAGTGAAACTTTCAGGTAGAGGCTGTTTACTGGAGGAAGTTGGCTGCTAGGAAGGGGCCTTGTGATTTAGCTCCCAGCCAGCCTCTGTCTGGTCTCTATTTCTTGGCAAGATAACTACCACATGCCACAACTCTGCCTCTTGCCCTGCTTCCCCAGCCACACAGACCACGGGTAAGTCAAGTTGCTTCTCATCACGACAACGAGAAAAGTAACCAATAGAGAGAGAGCACCTTCTCAGCAAAGCCTGCTTGTGCTCCGCCCCCAAGGAGAATCTACTTCTTGGTCATACTAATGCTTAGTCCCAGCAGCGTGTGTTGCAGGATTTTAAAACTGGTATGTTCGCACTCAAGCATGCACCAACCTGGAGCAGTTAGATGGATGCAAGTGAAACTATTCACTAAAGCATTCGGAGAGATGAGTGCTTACCATTAAAAATAATCTTCACAGATGCTTCAGTGAGCGGCAGTCACAAGTACCTGCAGTAACAGTTTCGTGCAATAGAAATGGATTTGAAACCACCCAGACTTGAGTCCAAATTCCGGCTTCAACATTTAAAGCTATGGTTTGAGAAAGTTTTTTGCCTTATTGATTTGTGGTCCTCCATTTTTTTTTCCTTAGCTATAAAATGCAGAGGAAAACATCTAGGCATGCGTACATTGTATATGTGTGGGTAAATTGTGTGTATGGGTGCCAGAGGTCAGCGCTGGTGTATCATTTTCCAGGAGCCTTTCATCTTGTTATTTATTTATTCAGTGTGTATGGGTGTTCTGCTTGCACCATGCATGTGCCTGTCCCCTGGGAGCCAGAAGAGGATATCAGATGCCCTGGAACTTGGGTTCTGAGCCACCATGTGGGTGTTGGGAATTGAATTCAAGTCCTCTGGAGAGATGACTCAGCAGTTAAGAGCAGCTGCCTACTCTTCCAAAGGTCCTGATTCAATGCCCAGCAACCACATGGCGGCTCACAACCATCTGTACTGAGATCTGGTGCCCTCTTGAGGAAGAGACCTGGTCAGTCGTCCTCATCAACTTAGACCACGGAACCCAATATGGACAAGTTCAACAGAACCATTCATATGGGGCTGCCCATGCGTGCTTCAGCATTGCCAGGGCATAGTTTTCCATATTTCCAGCTTTTCCTCTGAAACAGCATTCAGTGCTCTTAACCTTGGCTTGCTTGCTTGCTTATTTATTTATTTATTTATTGTTGGGGGTGGATAGGGTCTGCCATTGGTCTAGAACTTGCTGAGTAGGTGCCAGGAATATTCTGGTCATCTCGTTAGCCCCAGGGATCTCCCAGTCTCTGCATCTTCAGTGCTCAGATTACAAGCGTGGGCCACCAAATTCAGGGTGGCGTGTGGCAATCTCATTTAACTGAGTTAGTTTCCCAGGACCCTGGGCATGAACACTCTAAGTAGTAAAACAAGATACAGACCTTAGGAATTATTTTGTGAATGGGGATGACGAGATGATCTAGTCTGGTGGAGCCAGGAGTCACTGACCCGTGCTTTTCTTTTGTACCATACAGATCCTGGCGGTCATCCTGACGTATCCTGTGCTCAGGACCTTCACCCTCTGGTTCCACTCCTCCCTCACCAGGAACCATGTCTCTGGCACTTACTCCATTGTTTTTGTCAACTGTCCCAATGAGCAAATTGCCAAAGATGTTGGCAGGTATAGTGCGGGGCTAGGTGATGCCCCTACGTGAACGGGAAGCTACCAGGGTGCTCCTAGGGGCCACGTTGTGCCCTTCTCTTGCTTTTGGCAACCCTTTCTGTCCAAAGATGAACTCCATACTTTTTGCTTGGGGTGGGGGAACTCATTGGATGTCCCTGCTCGGAATGACTTAGGGCTGATCTTCTGCTGTGCTAGGGAATGTTAAGTCATTGATGGGGCAGAAGAGGTGAGACCCATAGAGATAGGCGACTTGATGGAGGTCTTAAAGGAACTGTGAAGGCCTCCATGGGGACAATTTACCCCCTCCCCCAACTGCTAGTCTAACTCCTTTTCTCAGCCCCTTAGCTCAGTTCCCAAGGTCTCATGATAAGTAAGAAAGTAGAGGGCTCAAGGGAGGAGCAGGGAGACCATCCTTCCTTGGAACAGGGAAGGAAATCTACGACCCAGCCCGGGAGTAGGGTTCTGATAAGGCGTTTGTCAGAAACCTTTAAAATAAAAACAAACAAACAAACAAACACCAACCAAACAAGGGTATCACGTGGCAGTGGAGGGCAAGCGTGCTGACCCCCTTTCTCTTCCTTTCCATTTTGAAGTCACTGATGCCACCCTGGGGCCCCACCCTCCTAACTTCACTAATCATCCTCTAAAAGCTCTCTCTCCAAACTCATTAACATGATTTATGGGGTTAGTTCTCAGCACAGGAATTCCAGGGACACACTCAAACCCTAGCATTCTGCCTTTGTGCCCCAGCATTCCTGACATTACATATAAAACACTGCCCTTCCATCCCCATAGCCCTAATGCTGAACCAGCTATAGCACTAGCTTGTGAAGCCAAACAAGCTACCTGCTTCTAAAGGACAATGGTGAAGCAGGCATTTCCCTGGCTAAATAAGCAAGCAGTAAGGAAAGCTGGTCCCGGGTGTCTTGGGGTTATCACTGCTGTGAGAAAGCACCATGGCCAAGAAGCATAGGCTGGGGGGACACCCTAAATGATTCTTTACTTAGACTCAGATATTCACAGTAATTCCCATCCCTTCTCTTAAAACCCTGGACTTGCTCCAGTGATCACCCCCTCTCCTTGCTCTAGGGCCATATTGGATAAGAAATTGGCTGCTTCTGTGAACATCTTGCCTAGGACGTCGTCACTGTGAGTTTTGCCAAGGCCAGGGAGGGGACTGGGAGTGTTAATATCGGGCCCTAGATGACAGAGAGAGCATGGGGCAAATGTGAGCTGTCGGAGGATGTTTCAAAGGCATTTAAATCAACACTGCACAGTCGACTTGCATTTGGAGATTTTGTTTGTTATCAGTTTATATCTCCCAAGGAAGGCAAAAATATGTTGTGTATAGAGAAAGGAGAGAAAAGTCACACTGTTTGCTCAACTGCTCACTTTGTCTGAGCATGGCTGCTTAACTTGCCTTAACTTGATCTCTGAACCTCAGCCTAGGTCTGTTGAATTAGCCTCTCTGAGGCTGAGGCCTAAGTTTCTGAATCGTTAAAATGTTCTCTAGAGGCTTATGCATGTAGCTCAGTGCAGAGTGCTTGCTTGCCTAACATGCACAAGGCCTGGAGTTTGCTCTCCAACATAAAAAAGGAAGAGGCAAGCCGGGCGATGGTGGCGCACGCCTTTAATCCCAGCACTCGGGAGGCAGAGGCAGGTGGATCTCTGTGAGTTCGAGACCAGCCTGGTCTACAGAGCTAGTTCCAGGACAGGCTCCAAAGCCACAGAGAAACCCTGTCTCGAAAAAGCAAAAAAAAAAAAAAAAAAAAAAAAAAAAAGGAAGAGGCAAGAAAAGATGGACGGAGGGTTAATGGAGGGAAGAATAAAGGAAAGAAAAAAGGAAGGGAGGAAGGGAGGAAGGAAAGAAGGAAAGAAAGGAGGAAGGAAGGAAGAAAGGAAGGGAGGGAGGGAGGAAGGAAGGAAGGAGACCTCATGAAATCTGAGTTAGGAAACTATCTTCAATAGATAACCTTCAGGAAGGCACTGATAGGTGCTGAATGTATCTGTTAGAATGGTTGGACAGACTGACCTGTGGGGCCTTGGCCAACTCTAGACTTCTTTTATGGGTTCGTAGTTAGGGTTCCTATTGCTGCGATGAAACACTAGGACCAAAAAGCAAGTTGAAGAAGAAAGGGTTTATTTGGTTTACACTTCCACGTCACTGTCAAAGGCAGTCAGGGACAGGAACTCAAGCAGGGCAGGCACCTGGAGGCAGGAGCTGATGCAGAGGCCATGGAGGGAGCTGCTTACTGGCTTGCTCCTCATGGCTTGCTCAGCCTGCTTTCTTAGAGAACAGGGCCACCAGCCCAGGGATAGCACTACCTGCAATGGGCTGGGACCTCTCGTATCAGTCACAGCCTGCCTGCAGCCCAGTCTGGTGGAGGCATTTTCTCAGCTGATGACTCTACCTTGTGCCAGCACAACGGGTTTGAGGAAGATTGTGGCGACTTCTCTTCAGTAATTTACCTACTTGGGCAGGTTTGACAATTTGCCAGGCTCCTCTTGGGTCTGTTACAATTTGATTTTGTTCTCTTCTCTAGGTACTTTTGGAAGGGAGAAATAGAAGAATCCACTGAGATCTTGTTGGTAAGTGAGGATGGGGCAGAGGAGTCTTAACAGGACAATGAGTGACATCAGGACCATTTCCAGATCCGAATTAGTGATGAGGCTGGGGTGTAGCTCAATGATGATGTCTTACATGCACATCAATCAACCGATCATGAAGATTGCCCCACCTGAGAGGCTTGAGGTCCATTAGCAAGCGGGTGACCTGGGCTGTGACCTGGGAGGAATGGAGGGTTGAGCTGGCCTTCAGGTCCTAAGTTGCTGATTGATTTTCTTCCTGTCACAGCTAATAAAGACAAAGACTTCCAAGGTCTCCAGGCTGTCCACCTATGTGAGGTAAGGCTTCTCACTCACGAACCACAGGACTAGGTCCAGATGTTCTGGTCGCTGCGTGAATGAATGTGGGAAGAGGGTGAGCTGGGTTTAGCGATCGTCTCCTAGAGACTCTGTGTCTATCTGGGCGATGGAGAGTAGAACGAGACAGTTTACACTGGTGGTTTCAAAATATCGGTCTCAGGGCCTCCTCATGCTTTAGAAAGATTATTCAGACTCACGAAAGCTGGGTCAATTTCTAGCTTGTTCCGAGTAACGCAGTCACAAAGCTCACTTTGAGTCTCAGCGGTTGACAGCAGTGACTCACAAAGTGAGGTCTCTTTACCTCTGAGGTCTTCAAAACTTTGATGAAGTCCACGAACATAAGTGCCAAGGATTTTGAAAACTATTTTTAGCTTACTTGACAATACAATCATTATATAGTAATAACACAAATATCATGGTTTTTGTTTGTTTGTTTGTTTTTGAAACAGGGTTTCTCTGTAGCTTTGGAATCTGTCCTGGAACTAGCTCTTGTAGACCAGGCTGGTCTCGAACTCATAGAGACCCGCCTGCCTCTGCCTCTCGAATGCTGGGATTAAAGGTGTATGCCACCACTTCCCAGCACACAAATATCATGTTTCTATGAAGAGTACTCATTCTTTTTCAAAACCAAGAAGTTAGTGAGAAAATGGAGTCATTCACATTTTGCAAATTGTGGCTTAATAAGATGGCTGCTAGGGACAGTTTTAAGTTTACAATGACAAATTCAAGGTTTCAAAATTTAATTTTTTTTCTTGCAAACAATTCTCTCATTGGCAACAAGGACATTGTCCCCTTCTACCTCTAGTATTGGAGATGGGATCCTGTGTCACTTCAGACCTACTGAATGGAACTGCATCCCAAGAATCATATCTAGTGATTCTTGTCCACATTACCACTTGAAGCATTGGTCTAACCTGTTGCCTCAGTGCTGGCCATATGTTAGATCACCTGGAGATATTTTTCAAATGTCCAACATAAGCACTACCTAATGGATTTTAACTTGGTTTGTCTGTGAGAGGATCAAATGATTCATTATTATTATTATTATTATTATTATTATTATTTTCTCTCATACATTACATCCCAACCTCATTTCCCCTCCTTCCACTCCTACCAGTCCCTCTTCCTACCCCTTCTCTCCCAAGATCTCCTCTTCCTCCTGTTTCCCTTCAAAAAAAAGAAAGAAAGAAAGAAAAAAGAACAGGCCTCCCAGACATATCAACCAAACGTGATATAACAACTTACGAGAAGACTGGACACAAACCCTCATATCAAGGTTGGACAAGGCAACCCAGGAGGAGGAAGAAGGGACCGAAGTGCAGGCAAAAGAGTCACAGACACCCACTTTCCTGCTGTTAGGGGTCCCACAAGAACACCAAGTTATACAAACACAACATATAAGCAGAGGACCTAGCACAGACCCATACAGGGTCTGTGTTTGTTGCTTCAGTCTCTGTAAGCCCCTATGAAGCCTGGTTAGTTGGTTCTGTGGGATTTCTTGTGGTGTCCTCGATCCCTCTGGCTCCTACAATTATTCCTCCCCCTCCTCTGTGGGGTTCCCTGAGCTCTGCCTCGTGTTTGGCTGTGGGTGTGCATCTACTCCCATCAGCGGCTGCATGAAGACTCTGATGACTGGCTAGGCACCGGCCTGTGAGTATAGGAGAATATCATTAGGAGTCATTTCATCGACCTTTTATTGGGGGCGGGGGGAGGCAGTCATGCTTGGTTCTATCTGGGTCTCTGGAATGTCCTGCTTCTGGTTCCTGGCCATCCAGGCAGTGTCTGGTGTAGGCTCCCTCTTGTGGCATGGTCCTCAAGTTGGACCAGTCATGGGTGGCCACTCCCACAGGCTCTGAGCAGCCTTTGCTCCCACACATCTTGTAGGCAGGGTGGATTGTAGGTCAAGTGTGGGGTTCTTAAGGGGCACCCCAGGTGGACTGCTGTGCCGCCTGGGCTGCACGCCCTTGCTCTGCATAGTAAGAATCATCTCCTCACATCTTAGGGAAACTAGGATTTTGTGGCCATAGAGCTGTAAGCTGAGTCTCAATTCTGACTTCAGAGAAGACCCTTTTGTTAACAACAGCAGAGGCGAGGGAATAGGTAGCTTGGCTGAACTGAACTGTAAGCTGTGAGGGGCAGCTTCTGGGTCAGGAGAACTCCAGAGTTCTGCTTCTTATGTTGAAGTCTGGCTTCCTACTTGATAGTTGCACCATAACGCTTGTATTAGTATATGTGTATATTTTTGCCTCATCTGTCTATCTATAAAATGGGTACCAAACTACCAGGTTGCTATACATATTAGACTATATGCAGTATACCTATGAAGTGCTTCAACAGTTCATCTTACTGCTAAGGTGTCTGATTCTTTGAATTCTGTATGTCTCTTTATCAAAGAAGATTCTGGCCTTGGTGTCCATGAAAGAAGCTTATCAAACTGATAATCAATCCTACTTATAAAACACTATGATTAGTTAACCACGTTAGCCCATGAGAACTTCCCAATGACTCTACTTTGATCAGAAAGTAAGCAAAGAATTATTTCGTTCATCTGACACACGAGAGACTGACGTGAGGACAACTGGCACCGGGCCAGGTGAATTAAGCAGAAGCAGGCGACTGAGCCAGGCTCTCAGTAAGGGCCCCGTGGGCGAAGGTCAGGGATTATTTGGCCTTGAGGCTCAAGAAAGGGGAGTTTGGTTGATCAGCAGGAACAGTGAAGATTTTCTAGGTAGGACGGAAACTACAGGCTTTGGGGAGGGGCAGGAAGACACAGCGATGTGTGTGGATGGAGGTGAAAAGAATAGTGAACATGAGTGTGTGCAACGCTGGTCACTAGCTAGTTCTCCGCAATTCAGCCAAAAAGGTGTTTTTATCCCTTTCTGTGGAGACGTTCAGAGAAATTTAAATGACTTGTCCACAGTCACAGACACAGGGCAGACAGGGATCCCAGCTGGGAACGCTTGGGGCTCAGCGGATATGGGAAGTGCACGAGCAGCTGGGGAGGCTGGGATGGGAGCCGCACAGACCAGCTCCAGCCACTGTTCAGTTCACATTTGGGCACCACTTGTAATGTGAGCCACAGCGAATATATACATCAATTTATTAAGGGATGCAACGGGGAAACAGACTCACAGATACAGGACAAGGGATCATGAGTTACAGAGTCCTTCTGTTTAGCCCAGGGAAGCTGGGGACCGATCACATGTGGTCACTTCATGCCACCTGACCTGATCTTCACCACCAAATAGAGAGCGGGACCCTTGTCTCTCTCCCAATAAGCGGTCATGTCCACAGACAAGAAGCACACCTGAAGGCTGGTACCCCAAAGATATTGGTGGAATGAGCTCCCACAACACACAGAACTAGTAAGGGCAGACACAGACTTTGAACCCATATGTCTAAGATTCTAAAGCATCAGTCTTCAACCTGTGGGTTGAGATTCATAACAGTAGCAAAATTACAGTCATGAAGTAGCAACGAAATAATTTTATGGTTGAGGGTCACCACAACGTGAGGAACTGTGTAGTTTTTTTTCTTTTTACTCTTTGGCTTTTGTTGGGGGCCTGCCACCCAGTTCTCAAATAAGTCACCATGGAGTCTTATTCTTTCTGATAAATACCCAGCCTTCCTTAGCTTGGCTTGTTTTTAGCCAACTTTTCTTTTCTTTTTGTTTTTCAAAAAAAGATTTCTCTGTGTAGCTTTGGAGCCTGTCTTGGAACTCAGTTTGTAGACCAGGCTGGCCTCGAACTCACAGAGATCTGGCTGCCTCTGTCTCCTGAGTGCTGACATTAATGGTGTGCGCCATCACTACCCAGCTCTAGCCAGATTTTCTTAAATTATCCTGTCTACCCTTTGCCTCTGTGGTTTTACCTTTCTCTATCTCTGTATAACTTTTCCTTCTTACTCCATTGCTGGCTGTGTAGCTGAGTGGCTGGCCCCTTTATGTTCTCCTCTCCTTGGTCTAGCTCCTTCCTCTATTCTCTCTGCCATCAGCCAGCCCCACCTTTCCTTTTTCCTGCCTCACCGTTGGCAGTTCAGCTCTTTAGTAGACCGGGTGTTTTAGACAGACACAGTAACACAGCTTCACAGAGCTAAACAAACGCAACATAAAAGAATGTAACACGTGTTTGCATCATTAAATAAATGTTCCACAGCATAAATAAATGTAGCACATCCTAAACTAATATCTACAACAGAACTGTGTTAGAGGGCCGCAGCATTAGGAAGGTTGAGAACCACTGCTCTAAAGGTACTGATCCAGCCCAGTACCTGCTGAATAGGAACCAGGCTCAGGCAGGCTGAATAGGAACTAGGCTCAGGCAGGCTGGACCACGCAGGGCATTAAGCTGTGAGCTGCAGCTGCTTGCAGGGGCCTCCAGAGAGCCTGCGGGCTGTGTTTTATCAGGTAGGTTAATCCTGTCGTCATCACTCAGAGTTCTGCTTTCTTTCCAAAGGTTGGCTCATCCTTTTGAAATCCCAGAGGTCTTCAGTATTGCCATGGACCACGGAGACGCTCGCTATCTGAAGTGGCTGGAGGAGGGCATGAAGGAGAACTAAGCAGAGAACTGCTGGCTGCTGAGGCCTTTCCTGACTGCTCTGGGAGAAGCCGGCCTCTGCCTCCCCAAGGGTTCCTAACAGCACAGAGGTGACCTGTGCAGGCCCAATGAAGGGCTGAGAATTTCAAGGTGTGAAGTGAAGGCCAGCCAGGTCCGCAAGAGCCAAGTGCAGCCTGTCTTGGAGTGCTGTGTATTTTCAGGCAGCCAGAGGGTGTGAGGGTGAGGAGCGGGGGCAGAGGGGTGGTGGTAGTGAGCGCACTGGGCCTACTACCATAAGTGCCCGGATGTAATCACTCCTCTGTTTCTCGTGGGGACAGAGAGCCTTTCTCACCTGTGTGTGTGTGTGTGTGTGTGTGTGATGTCTTCCAAAAACAAACAAACAAACAAACAAACAAAAAACTGGTATGTGTTCTTTTCAAAATGATGAGTCATAGGGATAGAATTTCAGGGGTCAGCAGAATTGCTTCTTTGTTAGAGAAGCTTTTGTTGCTCCTGAACTTGCAGAGGTAAGGCTGGGAAGGGGCTTCTTGAGCCTATGCAATCTAGGGGAATATATGGGTTTCTACGCAGCCTCGTGAGCTGAGGATAAGTCCTGACTCTTACTAGACTTATTGTAACAGACATGCAAAGACCCTACAGTCAGGGTCTCAGCCCTGGGAACCTGCTGCACCAGTGTTCTTCAGCGTTGCTGTACAGTTTCTGGGGCTGACAGAGGAACCACCGAACTTCTCGAGGAATGCAGCCCCATCCATGCCCCGAGTGAAGCTGCCGGAAGTTTGTAAATCATTGCTGTGATCTCCCCATTTTATGCATTATCAAGAAAAATTGCACTTCATGGAATTTCATACAGGGAGGCACACGGAATTATAGAGTCTAACAGTAGTTTCTCATCTCACGAGAGGGCTCTCTGGCACCTGTTGCAGGGATCTATAGTGAAGAGAACAGTGAACACAGGATGCAAGCCCAAGGCTCTGAAAAGGGAGAACTGAACTCTCCATGAATCTCATAAGGGAATTCCATGATGGGGGACCACAGGGAGTTGGAGTCAGGATCCAGACAACTATGGTGTCCTGGCCTCTTCTATAAGGGGGTGTTCCATATGCCAAGTGGAACATGTCCTAGTTCTGATAGCTGCTGTGTCTCCCACCTTGCGCTCCAGATACCAGACGGCGAAGGGTCTCCAAGGGCCATCAAACCGCCAGAGAATTCCACTGGTACTTTTGATGGTTGAGGAACGGTGATGTCCTTGGTCTTAAACCCCAGTTTCTGATGTATATACAAGTCTTGAAGACATTATTTAAGATGTACTAAGGACCCCGGATAGGCCATCATTGCTGCTTCTAGGTCAAGTCCAGTTTCTAGATCTTCCTTTCAGGACCTATTTCCATCAGTGTCTCAAGTCTTCCCCACTGTGGCAGATGGGTGACCTCTCTGTGCACTGTCCCTGTGCTAATGCTGTCCCTTCTACCCGGAGCTACTCCTTGAAAGGCCTCTCTTCTGGGCTGGATTACGAGGTGCTGGAGGTCAGAGGCGTGTCTGAATCTTCTTGGTCTGTTGCACAAGTCTGGGAATTATTTCCCACCCTGACATTTCAGTTTCAAGGGTTTAAATAAAAACTTTCTTTATAACAAATTTACTTTTAAATTTTGAAATAGGCAATATATATATATATATATATATATATCTTGGATTTTCTTAAACTCTAAGAGAATGTGGCCTTCATTGGTTCATTTTCGGTGTTACATATACCATCACAAAAGCCTTTCTTGGTGACCTGTCTGCCACCGTGTACAGGAAATGGGAGAGAGGGGCACTTGCTCCCCATCTTATCCTTGTAAGTTAGGCTTATTTGTTAGCATTTTGCTGATGAAATTTGAGGTCAGAGGGCATAAGCCACTTAAAGATTTATTTATTTATTGTGTACACAGTGTTCAGCCTCCTTGTATGCCTGCAGGCCAGAAGAGGGCACCAGATCTCATTACAGATGGTTGTAAGCCACCACGTGGTTACTGGGAATTGAACTCAGGACCTCCGGAAGATCAGCCAGTGCTCTTAACCTCTGAACCATCTCTCCAGCCCCCCCCTCCCCCCCGCCCAGTCTGATTCTAATCTAACATTTCTACTGTTTTTTATTCAGGGGCCAGTTTCTGAGAACCTACTGTAGCCACTGGCAAAGTTACTAGTCTTTAAGACATCTGTCTGTCTGACACTTGTCCATCCTTTGCGTTGTTTCTTCCTTACCATAGATCTGGAGGGTGTGACTCACTCCATGGATGAAGAGAGTAGAGTTTAGTGACGGGCCACTTTCCTACGTTGTCCTCCCCAAATCAGGCTGTTGAAGACCAGTTGGGTCTCAGACTAGTGTGAATTCCCTGCTAGCAGTTCTTAGGATTCCCAGAATCTCTACAAAAGGCAACTGTGGACATGAGGAAAAACATAACTATCTAAAATAGCTAAATCTTATGAGGACACAAACACTGCTGCATTAAAAGATTTATCTGGGTGCGATGGCGGACCCAATAATCCCAGCCCTTGTGAGGCTAAGGCAGAACAACTTTGAGTTCAAGGCCAGCCTGGACCACAGGAGACCCCATCTCAAAACAAACAAACAACAAAACATAGCCAAATCACCTTCACCAAGTAAAGAACAAAAACAGGTGACTTCCAAGTGCTGAGTGGGAGAGCCTAGCCAGGACAGTTAAGGGAGCTGCCACCGCCATCGCTCTAATCTATGGGCCTTGCTCTGAGCTGTTGCCACGGCAGTCAGTCTGCTACCATCACTGGGTTTTCCTTGCAAATTTTATATACAGTGTGTGCTTTATACAGACTCTGAGAGAGGTGTTCCAAGAAATAAAGTCTGGGAGCAAAAGGAGCTCTTAAGGTGGTAATTCAGGCTGCCAATATACCCAAATGCTGTGGCATTAGAATGCTATTCAAATGATGTTCCCTGATCTTTACATTTAATCCCCAGGCTATAGTCTTTGTTTTATAGTACTAATAAAAAGGCTTGATACGCCTCAGCAAATTTCAGGTAAACAATGAGGAAAGGAGTATGAAGGGTGAAGTATTTGATCTGGGGAATTTCTGAGAATTCCAGTTTACTCCTAAATTAATTCATTCATTCTTTTTCTTCCTTCTTTGTTTTGTTTTTCCAAGACAGGGCATCACTGTGTAACAGCCCTAGCTGTCCTGGAACTTGCTTTGCAGATCTGCCCACCTCTGCCTCCTGAGTGCTGGCATTAAAGGTGTGTGTCACTATGCCTGCTTTATTCCCAAATCCTAAGGGTAAATGTTTGCTGTTAGTAGAGGTAGAAAAAGAAAGTTCCACATTATCAAAGGGCAATAACGGTGGGAACACTGCTGAGAACATAGATGAGAATGCGGGGGTGGCTGGGTGGTCGACAGCTGGGCTCACCCCCAGCAGTCTAACCTCCAGGAAGCCAGGAGCAGCAGGCCAGGGCATACAGGCTTTCCAAGGACACACTTACACTGCAAACCAGACACGATTATAACTTTAATATAACAAATATTATTAAAAGCAGCAATTCAAAAACTAAAATCTTTTCAAAGGTGCACAGGGTTATACTGTCAGTTGACAGTAATGCAGCCATTATCTTGTGGGAGTAAAACGTTGGTGTTAGGAGTCAGGTGACCTGGTCAGGCCTTGTGCTATCACCCCCCTCCACCACCACCTTCCTGCTCCTCAGGCCCAGTAGGGAGAGGCAGCCTAGCTCTCCGTTTTTCCCACCAGCCAGGAAGGCAGATGTTGCAGGTTGGCGTGCTCACTGAAGCTAACAGGAGGCCACAAATCTGACCCCAGTTCCCACACTACCGCCAGCCTGGGAGTTGGCCTCACAACTCTCCTTCCACCTGGCCCCACTGGGGGACCTCAATGGCAGCAGCTGTGAGACTGAGAACTGGGACCAGCGCCCACCTGCTCATCCTTGCCTCAGACATGACAGGGAAGCAGAGGGAAACGAGTGGCTGTGCCCAGGTGAGAGGAGACGTCCCTTTGCAAGGCACTACAGTTGCTGAGGTTTAAGGCAAGGGCCATCTAACTTCTGAGACCTCCTGAATGCTCACAGGCAGGTATGGAGGGGTCAGGCCTACTCATGGAAACATCAGCCCCTGACATAGGGCTAATGTCCCCACGCTGTTCATTTTCACCTTCCAGCTGGCAGCATGCAAAGCCCTGCCCAGCTGGAAGCCACCGCAGCAGTGAGGCTGGTCCCAATCTGCTGTCCCTGCCTCCCACCCCAAGGCACTTCTTCTTTCCAACCAAGTGAGTCAGTTTCTAATATCTCTGCAGGCAAACTAATGGCTCTTTGCCCACCTCCTAATTTTGGTTTCCCTCCAGATAGGGCTGTTTGTCCATTTTAAGGGTTCTATTTATACCATCAACGACAAAAGCTTCCTTTCTGAAGGGAAGGAACGATTCAGGCCCTTGAAAAACCCCAGCCTGTCTCCAAAGTGATTGTCAGTTTAAGGGCGAGGCAGGTGCTCTGCAGAAGAGGGGAGTCTTTTGTGCTTCTCTGTTGGGTCAAGTGTTTGGTTTTCACATTTAATTGCAGCATGTATCCCTGGAAGGGGCCAAGGACAGGAGCCAGGGTGCCAGGAGGGCGTGGGAATGTGACCGTGTGTCTGTACACACACAGTGGTGTGGTGTGGGGCCTTGTGATGAGTCTGAGATTCAGTCTGACCTGGCTTGGCTCCCCATCATTTCCTCTGAGATCTCAGTGTTTAAGAACACCTCTGTGCAGCAAGGCCAGGCTGTACTCCATGACGGCCGTGAAGGGTTATTGCTGGGGACAAGCTTCTGGGACCCTCAGAGCTGACTCATGTAGTCTCTCCTCTGAGCCTCCTTAAAGGACCCTGCTGCTGGCCTCTTCATCAGAGACCCAGTTCATCACCACCAGGTTTTGGGTCCCAGGCACTCTGAACTTTCTCAGACACCCCTACCCTCCTGGCCTTAGGGGTATTGGTCAGAAAATGGGAGACCCTCGGGGTCCAGTGAGAACCCAGTGAAGGCAGTCCAGTGAGGGACAGATGCACACGTGCACATGGCAGATGTGTGACCACACAAATACCCAAATTGGGTGAGGTAAAAAGATGGAGAGCTGGGGACAATAAAAAACAGATTTAGGCCTCAGGATCAGGAGAGGTCACAGCCAGGGTATTTTGGAACCAGAGGAACCAATAAACAGTTTGAGGGGTGTGGAGTGTACAATGAGAAAGAGTCACTGGGGTCTTGGAGACACAGGCAATTGGTACAGCAGCACAGACTTTGGCCTGGCAGGCAGCAGGCAGGGCTACAGCCAGGCCCTTATGGCTCTGTCCTGCTTCCCTTCCACCACCCCAGCCTGGAGAA